CAAACTTTTCATGTAAATTTGATTGACTTATTTGACCCATATCTTATATGGTCTATGATCAACTATTGTAGTAGAACATTTACTATGGGAGATAACAAATGGAATAACTTAAGATTGTTTATCAGACATATCTCATATATTTGATTTTACTGTGTACAGTACTATACTTCTATATACTTCTATAGTATGTATAACTTATATAGATAACATTTTATTTTGATTAAGGTAATGAATATCATGATCATATCATAATATTATTAACCTTTTATCAAAACCTCAACCTTCTTTTTAAACTTTGAACTCATCAAAGCCTCAACTCTATACTTGAGACATATATTTTAATCATCTGTTATGATTAAACTTGAGGGTAATGAAGTATGGACTCTAATGCTCACAATACTAAATACATCAAATGTATTAGTTAATAGAATTCAACAAACAACTCATCTTTTATTATAAAAGGTAATTTGCACACATAATAAATGACATTACACAAGATAATTAATTTAAAATCAAATGATCCAAAATATCATATATATTTGGATATGTGTAATTTCACTTATGTGACTAAATTATGTTGTCAGATGGATATTATCTAATCTCATATTTTTTGGACTTTTGTTATATCACCAATTAATAAACAGTTCAAAACTAGATACTAAATGCAAAAGAATAATTTTCTTTCTTTAGTTTGAAAATTTTAATCCTAATATGTCAAACATAATGTAGAAACTTTTAACAAACTAAACTCGCATGGTGATCATAACTAATTATCCAAATGTAGAACGTGCATCCCAAATGTAGAACGTGCATCACTTGTTCAAGTTAACAAGTATAGAAACACTTTTTTCACATTTATCATTCTACTTACTTTTTGAATCATATATATTTCAAAAACATACATATTCTTCTATATGATATCCACATATCATAAATCTAAAGTAACATGAATGATAAATATCAATCTTCTAACATAATTAGAAATAAAGAAAAACTTCATCAAGTTTGATTCTACCTCAAGTATCAAGATTGATTAACAGTCTTATCTATTCAATTTTGTTTTGGCTTGACTTGACAGATAGTCTTGTATAATTTAGTCTTGTAATTGAATTTCTTAAACTCAATAAAAGAATAAACTAAGTACGTTGATTAACTTTTTCTTGTATAAGCAATTCTGTCGGTGGCTTTGGATTGATTCAATCAGTGTCACACGGATCAGACTTTCATGAGGGAGATCGGATCCGGCCAAAAGTTTGGCAACTCGTATCAGACTTTCGTCACAAACTCGCAAAAATTCCAGTTACTTCTTTGCCCAACCAAAAATACTGACGCCACACAGTCAACGCCAAGCCTGTAGATCCGGGTGAAAGAATAACTTCTTTTCACGACAAAAATCCAATGGCTGCTAGCATCGAACGCCGGTTCGACTGGGTGTGGGGCTTCGACCAGAACCACTCCGATTGGGTTGGGCAACGAGCCGGTCAGAACTCTTCTAACCAATCTGGATTAACCGATTTGGCTGACCAGAATTGTAATTAAATTTGTCCAGACAATACAATTCACGATGAAATCTTAAACCAAATCGATATACATATGTGAATGAATTGATGAAAACCAATGTTCACACAACAGTTCGAACTCTTCGAACCAAAAGCATGAACTTTAGATTTGAACTCTTCAAAATCGGAAAAATTGGCCGATCTACCCAAAGGTTGACATGCGTTGTCAATTTCACCCTTTTCTTTTCGGGTTAGCCAATATTACTCTAAGCTATCCAATTGTTAGCTGATTTTGTCTAATTTGCCAATTTTTGTTTAAATTAACTGAATTCCGTTAGTTTTAATTACAAAAAATACCCTAATAGTTTTGAAAATTATAAAAATAATCCCAAAAATTTGTAAAAATAACCAAACAGTCTTTTTTCACTTTTTATTTAAGTTTTTCTGTTTTCTATTTCTTTTTACTATTTCTCATAACTATAAAATATATTATATAATCTTTTAAAAAAAACTATTTATTTTTAAAACACTATTGTGAAAATTTATAGATATGCATATTCGTAACTCATGGTTGATTTACATAAACATATTAATTTTTTAATAATATGATTTAACAGTAATGATATTATTTTTTTAATCTATTTTTTTCAGTCTAAAAAATACGAATATTTAACTAAACCTAATTTTGGACAAAAAATAAAACATTTAGCATAGATTAAATTTTTTTTATTGGTATACTTTAATGTATTATTACAATATAATTCAACAGAATTTAGATTGTATTGTAAAATTAAAAAAATAATTAAACTAAAATATACATTTTCTTTAAAAAGCCAAGTACAAATAGAAAATAAAAAAAAATGGTACAAAATATTTTATAAAAAATATGTATATTTATCATTGTGAAATTTAACATTTCGTGATAATTTTTTTGAGATATTAACATCTAACTTTAGCAAGAAATTTTTTTTAATAATAATAAAAAAAATCTGTTCCAGTACTGGACTCCACCTTTAAAAAAAAAATGATCGCCCCAGTGAGAATTGAGGCCTCGAACACTGTAATAATCATCTCCCATCTTAAATCACCTGACCATCCAACTCAACCTTCTCACCTTTAGTAAACAATGCATAAATGTGGATAAAATGACTCTCTCGGTTAAAAATCTTTGGTGAGAATTAATCTTATATCTACTATCATGAAGCTCAACACCCTAAACACTAGATTGTACACTATATTTTAGTTTAGTAATTTTTTGAATTGGATAATACAATCTATAGTTTGTTTATTTAATTTGTAATAAATTAAAATGTACTAATATATTAATTTTTAATTTATGCTAAATGTTTTACTTTTTCGTAAAAAATTGATTTTTAGTCAAAAAATATTATTCTTTAAATTGAAAAAAGGATTAGAAAAACTAATATCATTATTGTCAAGTTATATTATTAAAAAATTAATATATTTATGTAAATCAACCATGAGTTACAAATATACATATCTATAAATTTGCACAGTAGTGTTTAAAAATAACTAGTTTTTTTTTAAAATATCATATAATATATTTTTATAGTTATGAGAAATAATAAAAATAAATAAAAATAGAAAAAATTAAATAAAAAGTGTAAAAAGACTGTTTGGTTATTTTCACAAATTTAGGGTCGTTTTTATAATTTTTAAAACTATTAAGGTGATTTTTATAATTAAAACTAACAGAATTCCGTTAATTTAAACGGAAATTGGCCAATTGGACAAAATCGGCTAACGGTTGGATAGCTTAGGGTACTATTGGCTAATCGAAAAAGAATATGGTAGAATTGACAACGAATGTCAACCTTTGGGTAGATCGGCCAACTTTTCCCTTCAAAATCAAACTAGACTTCCCATAATCGATAATACATACACGAACAAATTTCGCATCCATGATAATTTATCAAATATCATATATATATTAAACACAGATCCAAAGAGTGGCTCTGATACCACTGTAATTAAATCAATCCTAATGCAACAGAATAAACACAAATTGATTTCATGCCAACATCACTTTGAAATCTTCGAATAACATAAACAGTTCAGAATTGTGTACCTTTAACAGCTAATCCAGCAATCACGATCACATGGTGAAGCCTCTAACGGTATCCACACGAACAGTTCTTGGGACACAGACACAAGGTAGTTCTTGGGACTAGTTCTCTCGATAAACTATGCTTTATGGAACCGACAGATTAAATCCAGAACTTGTGTCTGTGACTTATTTATATAAGGCTATGGGTCTCGATAATTATCATAAAGCCCATATCTTATTTATTTAATAAGTCATTGTGATTAATTTATCATATAAATTAATTCTTAACTTATCCCAATTTATTGTCTTCTTGTATGTGACTCTTTAGGTTCCTAAAACACGTTGACTAGATATAAATTCTAACCCTAGTATTAATTGGCTTTTAGACATAAAACCAATACCTTTCGATTTGTATCGCGACATTTTCTTCGTGGACATACATCTAGAAGAAGATTCGGGAGTGGTTAGGGACGAGGGGGATCATCTGCTAGTGAAAATAAGAGAATTTGCTTTTGACATATGTTGAAACCGTACAATGTGGGACACAATATTTGTTCTTCCTATGAATTAATTTCAGGATCTTAAGGTATGTGAGGATACCTCTTGTTGCTGCATGGAAATCTTGGTTCGCTATGGAGAATGAGAGTCCATGTTTTGAAAGAGAGTACCAGAATGCCATTAGCCGACCTAGAACTAAACGAGAACTCATGTATATACGGTATCAATCCGGAGATATAATGATGAAGTCACCAACTTAGCTGTTCTTTTGAGCTTAGGTCGCAAAATGATGATGGACTTGAAATTGTCTACCTAGGAGGACTTGCATTTAATTTCCAAGAGTCTATCAAGAAAGTACTCTTCCAGCCAAGAAAAATAGTGTAAGAGTATAAGATGGAAGGGGTAATCCATATAGGAGAGTATATGTGACAATTATATATTTAATTACTTTAATTTGTTTCTTTAATATCATGTGATTATAGTTTACATTTTTACTCATTCCCACTTTAATCTAGTGATTATAGTTTACATTGTGGTCTTGTCTAATTACGTCGTAAATTTTTTGTCTTAATCTTTATTTAGAATTTGATTTTACTTCAAAATATCCAAAATGATATTTTAAGTACAAAAGATTATATTAAAATGTTAAAAGAAAAAAATGAACTAATTAGAAATAGAGACATTGTCCTAAATGAAAGTGATTTTTTTTTTTTTGATGTAAAATTACAGAGAATTTATTTTTGGATGAAGAATTTTTGGAATTTCCACATTTTCTTGAAAAAAAGGAGGAGAAAATTGAAAATTCAGGTGCCCAATTTATGACGTCACCTATCGTCATGCGATATATCTGCTCAATTGGGCCACAGATGACGGCACCCAACCAGAATATATAAGGGCCCGTGGAGTAAATCTCATTAAAGCCTCAAAAAAGGGGACTCCTTTTACCCGAACCAAAACCACGTCGTTTGATTCATCGACGAGTCGTGTAGATAGACCTATATATACACAGAACCAAGAGAACAAGTGTCGCGCGTGAAACACTCTTTTACTTTATATTTTCCGTTCAGAGTTAGTGAAGAGAGAAAAGAAAATGGACGAAGAAGAGCATGAGGTTTACGGCGGTGAAATCCCCGACGAAGGTGAGATGGAAGGCGATAACGCCGACGTCGACATGACCAACCCCGATGAAGACGCCGTTAAGGTGCTTGATTCTTTTGCCTTTATCTGTCTCTCCTTTTTCTTTTCTTTTTCTGGGTTTATTCAATGGATCTGTATAGTTTTTAATCGATCGAATTCGCAGGAGTTGGATGAGATGAAGAAGCGATTAAAGGAGATGGAGGAAGAAGCCGCGGCTCTCCGCGAGATGCAAGCTAAAGTTGAGAAGGAGATGGGCGCTGTTCAAGGTCAAATTCGTCTTTTTCTTCGCAGGTTTTCTAGGGTTTCCTCCTCTGTTGCAATCCTTGGGTTTCCGATATCGATGAGAAGTAATTTTTAATGCATTGACAGATCCTGCAAGCGCAGCTGCTTCTCAAGCAAACAAGGAAGAAGTTGATTCCCGGTCTATATTTGTTGGAAACGTGAGTACTAATTTTTAAGTTTTGGCTTTTTTTTTTTTTTGCCCTCTTTTGAGGGAGTGTGATTCCGAGATATGCATAGATGGCATAAATGGTTGTTCGTTTGTTTGTGAATGTGTGTGTAATTGTTTGTATGGGCTACTTTGTTAATGACACTCGGCTGAAATTGTTATTTGTGGCTGTTTCTTGTTTGATTTCTTGATTATAATCTCTGGATCTGCTCTGTTCCTTGCACCCTTGTTTGTCAAGTTTGATTGACCCGGTTTAGACACGATGGCTTAGGTGTTTCATTCCCTTTAGATGTAATGATAATCACGCTTGACAAACTGTTTTTGTTCCTAAATGTTGATTGTTTATGAAAGTGGACCTTAAGTCTTGCTGTTGTGATCACCCATAAAGGAGTTGGAGCTAAATTGAGTAATAATTCTCTTTATTTCGGATGCGCTGTTCGTTTGGGGCAGTGTCATAAAGTACATATAATTGAATTTAGTATCTTGTGGCCCAGGTCAAGCTGGAATTGCTTATGTTAGTTTGTTGGATTTTGTCATTAACGTTCTTGTTGGCTATTCCCTTGTTTGGTACTGAGTTCACAAAATTGAGATGAGGCATTTATCAATTGTCATATTACCCTCGAGTAGATTTTTAATTGTGCAACAAAGTGTTCCTGTTCCCTTCTTTGAGAAAGGAAAGAGAAGAAATAAAAATAATTACTACAAGGAACAAATTTGTTTTACTGTGTTTGGATTGTAAGCATCTCCCTGCTTGAAAGCTTTAGAAGTTGCAGATTACCTTGGATTCTGCTCTTTTTAGAGCGGCGTACTGACTTCACTAATTTGTAAATATGTGTTCTGTGAGCTCTTGATATTAATGTTTGGTGGCTTTATTTGTACTGTTGATCTCATTTCTTTTTCTAATTCTGTTTATATCCATTAAGAACTTTGGTTCACTTGACTTTGACTACTATCGCAGGATTGTTCATATTCCTGAATAGAGCTGGTTTTGTAAACATGTATTTTGATGGTGATAAGGGCGTTGGTTTGATTTTGAATGCACATATTGCATTTGAATTGTTGTACTTGCATGTCTAAATTGCAAAAAAAAATCAACACTAAAAAGGAAAAAAAAAATAGTGAAAAAGATATGGGAAAAAAAGGATAAAATACCTGTAGCATCTTGTGAAATCCCCCACAAGAAAAGAAAAAAAGAAAAAAGAAATGGAAAAGAAAGGTAGAAAGAAATTGAAAGAAAAGAGAGGAATTTATGGGAAAAAAGCAAGAGAGAAGTGAAGAAGAAAGGGAAAAAAGACGATAACGGGGGATTGAGAGGAAGGGAAGTATGAATTTGTCCTGGGAATGCTTTTCCCATGGAATTTTTGTTCGCAACTCCATGCAATTTGTCAGTGTATGAGTTGCAGCGATATGTAACTTATTGATATCTTGAGCTTTCCTCTGTTGCGGGAGAAGAGGCGTACACACATTTCTGAAAGAGCCAAGTCTAAAGCGATTGCGAAGCAAATTCTGCTTGCTGAGTATGATTGCTGCTGGCTGGTGGTTGACCCCTGACACCTCTTATTTGATTGGCCTAAGCTTGATATGGTGAGGTGTTGATACTTACTGCAGCCTTCTTATAATATATATCCTGCTTCTGCCAGATATCAAGAACCTTCCTCCCTTGTACTGCTGGGTCTTCTCTTGGTCTAAATTATAGGAACTTATAACTGTAGGAGTTATACGGTTATATATTTAATTGTCTTGGTAGTCTTGTGGTCTGCCAGAAGCCAATTTATTTATGGAATCCTGTTAGAAACTATCATCAATTATGATGAAGATGAACTTATTGATTCGAGCAGCAGTGTGGGGAGTGTTGATGCTCTAGCTTGGGAAGATGGAGTTTTTTGGGAAACAAAGAATCAGGAATAGGGAGTCATGATGATGTGATAATTTGGACTGAGTTTGATGTATGCCTGGGTCCTGGATTTTAACATATGCCCCTGGAAGTTTTGTTAGATTTAATGGTTTTTTCTTTCAGTTACTAATAGGCTTCGGAAAATTTTTGTAGGAGTGGATGTTAAACCTAAAATTCTTGAAGTTCTGTTTTCTGCTGGATGATGATTATTGGATATCTGCAATTTATATCTTGTAATTGCTTCTGCACACTGTAATTTCCCTTGTGGGTTAGAAATATTGACTTTTACTCTTTGAATTTCATCATTCAGGTTGACTATGCTTGCACCCCTGAGGAAGTCCAGCAGCATTTTCAGTCTTGTGGTACTGTTAATCGTGTGACTATACTAACTGACAAGTTTGGCCAACCCAAGGGTTTTGCCTATGTGGAATTTCTTGAACAAGAAGCTGTTCAAGAGGCCCTTGTTCTAAATGAATCTGAACTCCATGGGCGTCAGTTGAAGGTTAGTTAACTGGTCTTTTCTTTTAGTCTATGCTTTTTAAGGTGATACTTAATTTCATCTTTATCCCCTTTTTTATTAATTTTATTTTTTACTTCGACAGGTCATGGCTAAAAGAACAAATGTTCCTGGGATGAAGCAATTTCGTGGGAGGCGTTTCAATCCATACTTGGGTGCAAGGGGGAGGCGACCTTTTGTACCTCCATATTTCTACTCACCCTATGGGTATGGGTAAGCTCTTTTCAAGCTCTGTGCTTGTAGTTTTTCTACCATGAATGAAATTGCCTTTGGACTGAAACATGATGGGTGTCGTATTTTACATATCTCAGGAAGGCTCCAAGGTTCAGGAGGCCAACACGCTACATGCCCTACTACTGAAATAAGGGATGCCCATGGCACTCGCCTCTCACTTTGTTATTTGCACTTCGGAAGAGGGTCCTCTTTATATTCCTCTATGTCATTGTGAAGGACTATTTGGTTGCCCTATGATATAATGCCTTGAACGGGCATCATAAACATTGTAATAGTTGGGCACGTTAGCTTATAGTTAGAAGTTAATTTATATTACTAAAGTGAATTTATAATTTGATGATAGCTACTTTCTGAAAGACTTATCTTGTTTTGCTTCTCAGTAAAGTGGTTCTGTATTTGTTGTTTGTTGCTAATCAGTCGTATTAATATCACAAATTGACTACATATAAGCTTCTGGTACCGGTCATACTAATCCCACCTCTTAGTTATTCTCTTGTTTGAGATTTTGGATTTTACTTTCAGTGCAATTTTTACCAAGAAATAAAATTTAAATCAGTCAATCAGTTCTTTGAATCCACAGCGTGGTTGATTAGCAAAAAGGAACATTGTATATGAGTTGACTATGGATTTGAAGTAATAAATTTCGATAGTTAGTCGGTTGTTTTCCATCAACAGAAAATCTCCTTGCTTGGTATTCATTCATGGCTCGGAGAATGCTGGTTCCGGATCAGATTGACAGCGTACAGGCCTAGCAAGAGATTCATCCAAGTTTCTGGATGGCAAAACCGAAGGTGATCAGCAGACAGACAGAGTAGATTCAATGGACAAGAAGGTTCAACAATGGAACCGAAGTTGCAGAAAGATTGTAAACTTACACCACAAATGTTCTACCTCGCTTGTTCATTGGCAACACAAAAACTTGCATGGAACTTTTTCTTTCTGATTATCTTTCTCGATTGTTGTTTGCTACGAGAAGCTGGGATTGGAATTTGGGATCTCTTTCAGTTTTAAGCTGATTTTTTTTTTTTTTTCCCCTTTCGCCCAATAAAAGAAACACACATGTCATAAGGATTTAGAATGGGGATTTCACTATAAATGCCACTCAACACATCTTGTTCTTGAAATGAACTACATGATAAAAATTTGATAAAACATAGGCCAGATCAATTTCAGTAGTTCATTGACCACTTTTGGCAAAGGACAAACATGCAGCTGAAAATGCAAAGCGAACTCCACGATTATGTCGAAACCTTCGTTTCTTATAGCAGAAAGAACACATTGTTTTTCTGATGTCATTTAATCCATCTAGACCTTAATTAGTAAGCGTGAGGAAACTGCCAAGAAAAACCAAAATTTCTCCATGATCATTATGCTTTTAGAAATTTGCTTCCAAGATTTGGAACATGTGTTTTGTGTTAACATCAACATATCATGCACAAAAACAACATATTATGCACATTGCTTTTGATTCAATCCTGGACCCCTAAATTTAAAAAACAACAGAAAAATGTCCACCAACTTGGTTAACTTCTTCCAACTATCCAACCACATCGAATTAGTGTAGTAACTACAAAATTTCCTAGACTTATACTCCAGAAAGACATGAATCATGCCAGAAGTTTATGACAATTGGGATAGGCTTGTTTCTGCCGTTTTACACAGAGAAGAGGATCGGGAGGCTGCTCTAAGGACCCCAAGTGAACTTTCTTTAGTATCGTCATCACCTTTTAGTTTGGCTCCTTTTCATGGCCGAGTTTCATCTTTCAGCTCCAGATTATCGGTAGGGGAATCATGCACCTACAATCAAATTCTCAAAATAACAGATTACTTCGACGACTCCAAGCTCATAAAGAAAGGCCACTCTGGAGATTTTTATCTTGGAGTTTTACAGAGTGGGATTCATGTTGTGGTTAAGAGAGTCAATCTGTCATCCTCGGCTAAAAGATTAAGTTCATCGTCTGAAATTGAAATCTGTGGGATGGTTAACCACCATAGACTAATTCCTCTTTTGGGTCATTGCTGGGGGAATGCTGGTGCTAAGTTTCTTGTCTACAAGTACATGCATAATAAGGATTTGTCGAAAGTTTTGAATGGCGAAATTTGTAGAGACTGGAGAATAAGGTTGAAGATTGCAACAGAATCTGCAGAGGGATTATGTCATCTGCATCATGCATGTTTCCCGCCCCTTGTTCATAGGTAACAAAATACCAAAAGCTGTATGTTTTAATAAGTGATTATACGTTGCTAATTATTTGGATTATTTGCTTCTGTTGGGTTTCAAAAAGGGACATTCAAGGAAGCAGCATTCTTCTTGATGACAATTTTGAAGTGCGATTGGGGAGTCTTACTGGAACCTGTACTGAAGAAGCTAGCAATAAACCAAATGGTGTTTCAAGGTTCCTGTGGTTGCCAATGTAAGTTATATTTCTTCTAGCATTTCATCTCAGTCTGGATAATGGATTATTTTCAAGGTCTGGACCCGTTGATTGTCCAGCCAACAAGCCGGAGTAATTTCTAATTTTCATAAAAGATCTTGTTTGGAAGACTAAAATGAACATCAAAAAGACTAAACAAGGCGGTTCAAACTAAACTATTACTGCCAACTGATGTTTTCTGGATGTAAGTCTTAATCGGATCATTTGGCTAGTGGAATCGCTCAGTGAGGCTTGATTTTCTTTCTTGAATGATGTACATTCTACTTACCGTTGGACTGCTGGTTCTTCTTCTTAATCCTTCTATTTCCATTGGACTGCTGGTTCTTCTTCTTCATCAATAGTTGGCAAGGCATATTTGTAGTGAGAGAAATGTGCTTCTTTCTTCTCTTTCCAATATCACAGCAGTTGTTTGTTAAGAGTTTTTGGCTTGCTTGAGAATATGACAGGCTTTCTTCTTTCATGCAGGGGTTTTCAACAGAGGAATTCTGGTTTGGAACTTTCATACTTCATTTACGCTACTTTTAAGCCAGTTATTCAATTGTGTTCACCTTATTAATTAATTACTACATTCTAAACTGGCAGTCTTAACCGAATACAGGAATTTTACATATGAATTCCCAGTTAGTGTTTACTCTCATCAAAAAATAATCTTGAATGGTCAGGCAGACGAAATGCAACACGTGCCTATGATGTTTACTGCTTCGGAAAGGTGTTGCTTGAGTTAATCACTGGCAAGCTGGGCTTGAGTTCTGCAAAAGGCTCCAGAATGAAGAATTGGATGACTAAAACCCTGCCTCTTATTGTTTTAGGTGATAAGAAACTCATTGCTGACATTGTTGACCCATTTTTATTCATGGATGAAGACACAATGAAGGAAGTGTGGGAAGTTGCTTTTATAGCTAAGGCATGTCTCAGCAGCAAGCCATCTGAGCAGCCTAAGATGGCACAAATCTTCAAGGCTTTAAAAGGTAATATACTTTTGCACATCTTTCGTCGCGAGGTAACCTGAGTAATTTCGTCAGGGACAGAACATTTATTTAACTGCTTTTCTTTCGTCTCTTCAGTTGACCATCGTAGTTTTGAAGCATATCAGCTAAGAAGCACCTAGCTTCTTTTGAGGGCATTGTTTATTTCAGCTTCCAAGTGAAACAAAAATGCTATTATTTTGTTATGTGTATCACTTGTCTTAAGGAAATTTTGTACTCATTGTAAACTCAAGAGTATCTATTTAGAAGCATGAATCACATATCACAGAGAATGATTATTTGATGGAAGTTTATGCTAAAACTCTTGTTCGATTCAGAATCTTTTTCTTTCATTATTTTGTGAGCGCCATTTTCTGAGTTCATCATCATCCGACCATGAGTGCATTTGGCTTTAGTTCTTCCATGTGCAATCAACATTTTGTCACTTCATTTATGTCTGGTGTAAAAGCAAAAGATTGGAGACCAAAGTAACAAATGCAGTTTTTCCTTATCGAAACGTGACATAATCAGGATTATTGGCGAGGACTAGTGTCCGGATATGTCCAAACGGGAAGATTCATCCACGTTCCAGCTCAAGGATTTTCACTCTTGAGGAGCTCAAGGATGCTACCGGGAATTTTGGAATGGATTGTTGGCTGGGAGAAGATGAGTTTGGAGAATTATATCAAGGTTTGCTTCAAGAGAAGTCAAAGTCACATGATTTTATATCATCACCAATAGTTGTTAAGAAAATGCATCTTAGAAAGGAGAAAGGCTTTCAGCAGTCGAAGGTAACCCCAATGGAGCTTGTGAATACATGATACATTTAATCCTATCTCTGAGGCACTGTTTCAAATTAAACTTTGTATGCCATCGTGCCTTATAAAATAGAACCAGAGGGAATATCTTTACTATTTGAATTGTTCAGTCTTTTCTGATTTCTCTCAAAATTGACCACAAAACTTGATAGTCTATCTGGTTGAACCAATGAAATGCTTGTATTTGTTACCTGCAGGCTGAGGCGGAAATGCTTCGAAGACTTTGTCATCCCAACATTCTGAAACTTGTTGGTTACTGTTTTGAGGATGACCAATTACTTCTAGCCTATGAATCTACCCAAGAGGGAAGCTTGAACAAATACTTCTCTGAAGGTGCGGAATTTTTTATTTCTCAGGTATTATCAATCAATGGATAACTTATAAGAAATGATCTGTGTTAATTGTTTTCATATCTTAAGAGACTTCTGCTATTCGGGACCTCACTTGGGACAGGAGGCTTAAGATTTTGATAGGAGCGGCGAGAGGTCTAGCATTCTTGGATTCAGCACACAGACAAGGTTTTTTCCAATTGAAAAAAGTGGGAGAAGGTTTCTATGGATATTTCAACTGCTCAAAAATATATATTGATTCTGTAAGTTGTTTCAACCACAATTTTTGTTTTGTTTTGCCTTTAAAGTCCAATGGGAACATGTTGTTTTTCATACTTTAATACATTTTTCATAGGTTTTTAGATTATCAACAAACTGATAACCAAGGATTCTTTCATATTAACAAAGTTCAGCTGGTTTTTGTTACAGGATTACAACCCGAAGATTACAGGGTTCAGTGTAACTGCGGTTGATCCACCAGATGATCTAGGTGATGTCCATCCCAAGATATACCGAAGTGGGAAATATGAATATGCCGCTCCTGAGTATAAACATCCAGGTAATCTCGCGATCCTCTTCCACCTTCTATGCTCCAGATTCAAAGCTAACTAACAAACAGAAAGTAAAAAGTACATTTCTGGTATCTCTGGTTTACCAGGGTTCTGGCTTTGGGAGGACGCTCGGAGTTACTTGCATTTAAAGAGTGATGTGTATGGTTTTGGTGTCGTGCTAGTGCGAATGTTAACCGGTGTTGATAACCATCATCATACGTCTCAAATCACAGAGCTTAAGCCTCTTCAATTTGTAGAAAGAGACATGGACGGGTTGTTAAAAGGGGTAATTCCATTGGAAGCCGCTGAAAAAATGGCTCAACTTGCTCAGTTATGTCTCCGGCATGAACATGAGCTCAGACCATCAATTGAACAGGTTGTGGAGATACTAGAAGGCATTGAAAAGATCAAGAGTAGCGGTGATGATCTGAATGAGCTAGACTCCTTGTTGGAAGGGGTTGAAAAACTTCAGTTGTGAAGCTCCTATCCCGATCCTTACAATAGATTCTGCATCATTTTTTGGGAGAATTTACTGTATAGTTTGATTACATGGCCACCGGGTGCGTGTTGTGTACATGATTGTTTGTTTTGGCAGGTTGAAGACATATAAATCAGACAAATTTTTCCGGGATGGAAATACGTACAAAAACTCAAGGATTGTGACGTGTGATTTTCGTTCTGTATCAATGAATCGTTTTTCCAGGGTGTAATGAATTGCACAATAACAAAAATGCGTTTGTGGATGGTCCGTCAATCTTGATCATATTTACTCGTAACCGACTCTTGAATCATCTTTTGCAAGGCCTGAGTGACGTAACAAATTATGCTGATTCTGCAGTTACAAAAAAAAAAGAAAGAAAAAAGACTTTTAACACCAAATGAAGGTTGTAACTTATGAGAATTTTGAAAGCTGCTAAAAGGAAGGCCCCGTCCGGACGATCTTCGCTTTGCAGAGTCTTTTTAGAGTTCTCTATAGGCCAATTTTGTCATTGAGCTTATTGGGAAGGAAATCTTTCACCTAAATCAAGTTTAAGACTCAGATGGCCAAAAAAATTTCTAAACAGAAGTGGGGTTAATAACACTCCGTGTGGAAGGGATTAACTGAAAGTTTCTGTCTGGATCTCTAAAAAATAGGAACAACGAATGAAACCCATAAAAATGTCCTGATTCTGACTTCGGATTTGGTGTTTTCCGCATTGTAAATATATTTATATTTTGTTTGGTACAGGCATTAAAATAGTCACCTGATCATAATAACCCAGGCACGCAAGAATGTTGGCTTTTAGCGAATGCCGATTTTCCTTGTGGACAATGGTAAACTGACACTCTCCCGATCGAAGGAATCAGAGAATACAGATGCTGTCAAAGTGGCTTAACTAGATCATCACTCTTGTTAGGCTGAACTTCTCTGTTTTGTTTGCACTCTGATCATTCTCTTTTACAGTTTTCGGCAGAAGATGCTTCGATTTTAAAAATCCTGTTTACACGCTATCATTAGTGTAGTGGTTACAGTCACCAAGTTTTTGTTTGTGCAACGAAATGATAACAAAATATGTCTGCAGTTTATGACAATTGGGATAGGCTGATTAGGGCCGTTTTTCGCAGAGAAGAACTCCTGGAGATTGCTTTAAGGACCCCAAGTAATCTGTCTTCAGCAGCATCATCATCATCAACATCAGCATCAACACCTTTTCATTTGGGTTTATGCCATGGCCAAGTTTCATCCCTCAGTTCTTGGAGATTATTGGTTGGAGAATCATTCAGCTACTTTCAAATTCTTCAAGCTACCAACAGTTTCAGTGACTGGAACCTCATAAAGCGAGGCCACTCAGGGGATCTTTATCTTGGAGTTTTACATAATGGGATTAAAGTAGTGGTTAAAAGAATCGATCTTTCTTCCTTGGAGAAAGAATTGTGTCTGATGTCAGAAATGGAAATTCTTGGTAAGGTCAACAACCATTCTAGAGTAGTTCCGCTTCTAGGTCATTGTTTAGAGAAGGCTGAAGAAAAATTTCTGGTCTACAAGTATATGTGTAATGAGGATTTGTCAAGTTATCTGAATAGCAAAATATATATGGACTGGAGAACAAGGTTGAAAATCGCAACCGAAGTTGCGCAGGGATTATGTTATCTACATCATGATTGTTCCCCGCCAATTGTTCATAGGTAAAAAAATGCCCTGAACCTGCTGGTTCAAATGGTTTTTTACATTCTTTTTTCATTCATTTAGCTAATGAAATGCCTACTTCTCTTGAGTCTCTAAAAGAGATGTTCAAGCTAGCAGCATCCTGCTTGATGATGATCTTCAGGTGTTTTTGGCGAGCCTTAGTGGGGCTGGTATTGAAGAAGGAAACAATAACCCAAAAAGGAGTTTCAGATTTCTGCATTTGTCAATGTAAGTTTTTCAAATTTGTATTTGGATATCTCTTCTTGACCTATCTCTTTAGTCATCATAAGATATAGATTTTTTGTAATAGCAGGCTGTAGGCTCATTACTTTCTGTTTTTCTGGGAAAGATCGCAACTGAATAATTAAAAGCTTTTGCTATCAGCATTTGGAAGATCCACTCTAACAAAGGCTTCTTCTATCATCCTTTGCGTTGATTGATGCATCCGGATGATGATATCCCTGCCTGCTAATGTTTCTTTGCCTTTATTGTAGTATGATTGATTAGATTAGTCCTCTTCCGCTGGTTCTTGATTTGGTTTCTGCGGCACATTCTATCAACCAGGCATTGTGAACTGTCCTGTGTGATCTTTCATATCCGTTCAGACTGTTTTTGAGTTGCCTTTCTTTCCAAGTTCGAAGATATGACAGATTTTCTTCTGATATGCAGGCGTTCTCGGAGTTCTCAACAAAGGAATTCTGGTATGCATTGGTACTTCCTTTATGTTACGTTATTGTAAGTTCGTCAACAATCTTTATACATTTATCATATTTGTAGCCCCTCAAGAACTAATGGCAATTCGTCATGCTGTTCCACATTTACCTGAGATGTCACTGGCATTGTTTTTTCTAACACGGCCTCTGCTTAAATTTTGATTGAACTTTCCAGATCATGTTGATTTTGCTAAGAAGTTCACATGACTTCCTCTTCTTTACGGTTTCATAATACTTTCGCAGTCTTAGAAAGTACCTCTCTAGACCCTCTATGGTAGCAATCTTCATTAAAACATATACAATTCTTAAGTTGGTAATCTAGTTTAGGACTAAAATTATCTTCAAGCTTCTGGAGTCGGTGGCAGATCTTTCAGGTTAATGTTTCACGCGAGGACTGAAGTAGCTATTTCTTTACTGGCTTTCCTTTTGACATCAAAATCCGTTTAGACATTAATTGTCTGCTAAATCTATCCCTGAACGGACAGGTACACGTAATGAAGCAACTTTTTCCTGTGATGTTTATAACTTTGGGAAGGTTCTGCTTGAGCTCATCACTGGTAGGCTGGTGGGCACAAGCGCTGCTGACGACTCTACCATGAAGGATTCGATAGTGAACACCCTGCGGTACATTGTATCAGATGATAAGGCACTCATTGCTAACATTGTTGATCCATATTTAGTGATACATGATGATATTTTGGAGGAAGTGTTGGCAGTTGCTTACATTGCCAAGGCATGTCTCAATTCCAAGCCTTCTAAGCGGCCTAAGATGACAAAAGTTCTCAAGATTTTGGAAGGTACTATTTTGACTTTTTTGTTGTAGTCAAGGTAATCCTATGTAATTTTGCCATGAAAAGCTTATTATTGTTTTTTTACCTTTGCTGCGTATGGTACTACTGTAACTCTCTTTCTGAAAAAAAAAATAAAAAAAATCATTCGCAATGATCATCTTCAGCGTCAAAAGTTTATCTTTGCACCTTAACAGATCAGAAGGTTAAGGCTGAAGCCAGGGGAATGCGACCTAGAATTGAGGAAGGAAGACTAGAAACAAAGCTTGTATTTTCCAGTGGAGAAAGCCAGTTTAGGTTCATTGAACTACTGAGATCACCTGCTGAACTTTTAGGGAGAGGCAATTTTGGTAGTTGCTACAAGGTTATACTTAAAAATGGGCCAACTGTAGTTGTAAGGCGACTCAAGCCTTTAAAACCATTAAGCATCGATGAATCCAGGGAACAAGTTGGAATCATTGCTGATCAAGAACACCCAAATTTGATGCCCCTGATAGCTCATTTCTGTTTCAAAAATGAGAAGTTGCTAATTTACAAGTTTGCATCAAAAGGAAATGCCTATAACCGACTCCACGGTATGTTTATATGTGTATAAATCACTGACCTAAAACGTTATCTTTAGATTGTAATCTTCAGTTTTTCTTTATCTGATTTTTAGCGCGAAAGGGAAACCCGTCGCGAATTCCATTTAGTTGGAGCTCAAGATTATCAGTGGCCCGTGGCGTGGCTCGAGCATTGCAACATCTGCACATCAACACCATGTCATCAAATGTAGCACCACATGGGAATTTGAAACTATCCAATGTTCTCCTTGATGAAAATGGCGACGTTCTTGTCACGGATTATGGTCTAACGACCCTAGTAGCAGCGCCAACGGTAGCAAAACATATGGTTGCTTACAAATCACCAGAATACCGAAGCTCCAGGACAGAGTCGAAAAAATCTGATGTTTGGAGCTACGGTTACCTGCTCCTGGAGCTTGTAACAGGGCGAGCCTCTACCATTTCTGCCGAGGCAGGGCCTGATGCGGTGGATCTCTTCCGTTGGGTTCGTCAGTCTTTTAGAAACGGATGGAATGATGAGATTTTCGATGAGGAAATAAGAGTTCACGGACGTGCTACTTATGAGATGGTGAAATTGTTAGAGATCGGGATGAAATGCTGTGCAAATTCCCCTGAAAATCGGCCTGGTATGGATGAAGTGGTCAGAGAAGTTGAGAGCATAAAGGAAGTGAACACAACCTGGATCCGAACTAGTAAAGATTATTTCAACCCAAGGACATGAAACTATCTTGGCATTTTACATCAGTCGCTAGTGGATTGATCAGAAGAAAGCGGGTTTTGAAAGAATTGCTCTCAAACTTACAAAGGAGTATAGTATCAAATGCTTGGGGTGATTTGTCGGGATCAGAAATTGAGTCTCAGGGAGACGGCATTCACGATCTGCTCAAGTTATAGACGAGAAGAAGAGTTGGAAAAATGAAAGAATAGATCAGGAGTGATGTTCAAGGGACAGTAAATAAAATCATTGAAAAGGAAAATTTGAAACTGCTGCTCATCGAGAGAACCAAATCATTCGTCAGCAAAGGCCTTTCAAGGGTTCTCTGATGGGAATTATTCAGCTATCATCAAGTTTTTTTTTTTTTTTTTTTTGTTTGAAGACAGCCCAATTCGAATGACCCTCTCCAGCAGCCTCAGTGCAAAGAAGACCTATATCAAAATCAGAATTTTAATACTTTTTTCTTTGGGGTATTAAAATTGTTACTCCCTCCTTAAAAAAAAAAAAAATTTACATTAAGTTTTCAAATTTGTATTAAAACCAGAACAAAACTCAATCCTTTCCACAAAAAAAAAAAAAAAAGAGTTTACAACTCAAAAAAAATTTAATTGAACTATTTTTTGTTTTTTTAGGGGACGGAGGTAGTATAATTTATTATATACATGATTCCGTAACTTATATCCTTATAATCTCTGAATTTCAGTAGCGACGCGTATGTATATCCAAACAGATTACTGATTACCTTTCTAGTTCAGCCCCTTGCTGATAATTAAAAAATAAATAAAAACAAAAAAATAGGAATTGAAAAGTGTGAATTTGTGACAAGAATAATTATGATGATATAAAAGTCAACGATTGCAAAAGCCTCGCTAATAATTACAGATTGGCATGAAATGCGGTACATCGTACCATTGCTTACAAATCACCAGAATGTCAAAGCTCCAAAATAGTAAGGAAATCTGATGTTTGGAGCTATGGCTGCATGCTTCTGGAGCTTTTAAAAGGGACCGATGCAGTGGATCTCTGCAGTTGGGATCATCATTCATCAGGCTATTACAGAAGAAACGATAGCTGATATTTCGATACGGAAATAACAGATCAGAGAAGTCCTAGTAAAGGGAGTGTAAAATTGTTAGAGATTGCCCTGGATTGCTGTCAAAAGTTGAATGAGGTCGTAAGAGAGGTTGAGAGCATAACAGAAGAGGTGAAACTTTGTATTACATCGGATATTGGGGATATTATTATTTGGGTGCCTGAACAAACGAATGTTTTAAATTCAAAATAGACTGGACCTTGTTTTTGCTCTGTGTGTGGCGACAAAAAGTAGAGTCGTGGATTTGCAAATTCTGATTTAAGAATTTTGAAAAATCAAATTTCGCAATTCTGATTTTAGGAAAATAATAATAAAATAGTATTATCTCCGTCTCAAAAGAAATAGTTCACATTGAATTTTCAAATTTGCACTAAACACAACAAAACTCAAAATTCGGTGTGGACTATTTTAGGTGGGACGGAGGAAGTAACATTTATCAGTAAAAAGGGTCAATTTTTTATTATTATAAGTCCCGAGCTTCCCGTAATGTGAAGAATCACCTGTTTTTTCAAAGTGCACGGCCGAGCTTCCTCGTAATGTGAAGAATTTGGCGGCTTGAATTCGCAGATAAAACATAGCTGAACTGCAAATATGACTGCCAACTAGACATACTAGTTACTTGAGCAGACTTGCCAGAATCCTGATATTGTTTCTTCAATTGCAACCTTGACACCATACCATAGACTTTATCAGCCATGGTGGAACCCAAAACACCACTCACACCCACAAAATGATCTGTATGGTGGAAGAGATCAACTTTATTCGCCGTAGTAGAACCAAAACTGTGGCAACCTCTCACAAAATGACATCTATGATACGATCGATGTGTAATATGGAAAGTGGTACTGGACTTCAATCTAGCAAGTATATCTTGCTTATTCACCAACCAGGATTTATTGGTCTGGGACAAAGTAAAATAATTAGTAATAAGTAGACAGACTGAATTGTTAATTCATAGTAAGTAGGGTGTTAAAAAAACCCGACACTCATTAACCGAACAAAAACTCACATAAAACCGAGAACTAACACAACAATCCGTTAATCAGTTAATAGATCTCGATTAAACAGTTTTTTACCTTAATTAGATCAATTTTCAATTTTGCTTGTTTTTGTCCGTTAAACCGAATAACCGAATCTAGTAAGGGAAAATTTTTAGAAAGAGCATAGGAAAGATCACAATTATTCTTAAAAGCATTAGCTTTTTTTAATTTTCTTTCTAAATTTTTTTAAATACAACTAATATTTGTGACAAGATAAAGGACTATTTTATCCTTTTTAATACCACATATTTTTTTTTATCGCTTCTTCCTCATCAAAACAGTAATCGGCAGCTCTCATCTCAAAAGCACGATTGAGCTTAAGATGTATTCTTGAATTCAACCATTTTGATCTAAATCATTTTTTGTTGTTTTTTCATTTCGGATTTTAACTTCCATGGTTTCAGCTATTGAATTTTAATAGGGAAAACATGAGGGGTTGCAGCTACCGAATTGATAACGAATTGGATTAAAATGAGGGGTTAAGAATTTGCATAGTGTAAACAAAACCTACACTATATATTTATACAAATATTGTATATATTAAAAACAATAAAAAATTAATCAACTTATACGGGTTTTGGGCAGGCCCAAAAATAAATTTTAAGTCCTAAACCCAAGTTAATGTTCACTACTTTTGGAAAACAAATAATCCATCAACTACTTTTTGCTTCACTCAGGGTTTCAAATTCCCCCAAGTTAGACAGCACCTTGAGGAGTTCTGGAACCTAGTATACGTACATACATCAGTTCGGGTTTGGTCATGATAAAGTAGATTGGTTGGAGAGGGAGTTTGATCATGTGGCAAACCCAAAATTTTTATCAATACATGAAAGTTTAGATTAAAGGTAAGTCCAGTAACTACTATGCACAAGTTTCCTACGTCTATGATCAAAAAATAATAATCAGAATAATAATCTAAAGAAATAGTGAGAAACAAATGTAAAACGCATTTCAGTTACATAATGTACCTCGTTATTAACAATTCCCGTGCGATATGCCCTGAGATAAGAATTGAGCTTCTCATGAGCTTCTCCAAGAGCAATATTAGTGAGTCCAATGTTGGATTCCATGTCTCTATTATTTGTAGGAGTATCTGCATCATGAACACGATAGAACTTAGATAACCATATAATCCTGCCCCTAAAATTGATAATATGAAATGGCATCAAAATAAACAATACCTGCCATTATCCCAAATATATCAGTTTTACACCTATCCCTGCCATGATTTTCCAGCATTATGCAATCATTAGCATAAAGAGGAAATAAGTAACTCAAGGAAATCAAGTTCTAGCATGAGTCGCACAACATCTAAAAATTACAATCACCAACATTAATATTTGAGCTTTGCATAAAGTTAACAAATCACAAAACTACAATTAATGGAACCTGATCATGCTGAACTTATACTTGATTTAAGCAAAAACTATAGAAAAATATAAACCAACGCACACGAGTTGAATCACAATTAATTTCAATTAAAAAAAAAGGAGTATAATTTGCTGATTAATGAACAGAATAAAAATCTGAGACAGAACGTAAGGTCTACTATTCATTCCCACTCATTCCACTCATTGAATGACAGAACCATAATTTAGCCCTACTTGTGGTAAAAACTTTAATTCTAGCGCCTCCTACCAAGTTTCTTACTTGTCATTTATCCTACTCATCTATTAAAATAATGCCATCCACGAACAGGTTGGGGGATTATTGTATTTGAAAATGCTTAGTAATTTCATAAATTACAAAGACCAAAAAAAAAAAAGAAAGATATGAGCTCATCATCAATCTTGATGCAAACCAAAAGTGATTGGGAATTCACCCGAAATCCCTACTTCAAACATGTTGCATTCCCCAAAGACAGATACGCATCATCAACATCCACATACCCAGAATATTGCCAACCAAGTTGGGGTCTAAGGGTCAAATGTACAACTTGAAAAAATCAAAGCTGCTTAACCATATGCGATGTTAACAGAGGAAAAACTGAGAATCTAAGAGAAGCGATGGATTAGAACCTTATCTCGTCTAAGAGTTCAAGCTCTGCATCAAACCCCGCCTCCTTCAAGAGCTCAGAAACTTCTCTAACCTTATCAAGCTCGTCGGAACCCTACAACATATAAGTATCTGCTTAGGATAACTTCATGGCTCATGTACCACAAAGAAATAATAAATTGGAAATTTTGAAAACTAAAATTTTATCTGGCAAAACTCAAGGAGGGTTACTCTAGATGTGCAAAAAAACATTTATACTCTTCTCAGTACAGACCATAACTTGTAGAAGGAAGAAACAACAAACAAAACAAACAAAACGTTAAAAAATTCATACTTTATAATAATTTGATCGTTGCAAGTAAGCTGCAATTTTATCACCGAATCTGTTGAATATTTCAAGCACCAACATTACAGCTTCCATCTCCATCTTCCTCTTTTTGACCTCGTACATCAACTTCTCACCATCAACATCATAAGAGGACGTAAAAATAATTATCCTTAGAGATGCAATCTCTTTCAAGACAAAATCTCGAATTATAGAGTTTCCTTTCAAACAAGGCTCAAGTCTCTCATGTGCCAACATCAATAAGGCAGTCAATTCGGGTAGCTTTCGCTCTTTCACGTACTTGAAAAATTCTTCTTCGACTTCAATGGTTTTTGAAGCCAGCAATCTCACAACTTTAGCAGCACACATTTTCTGGATGAAAATAAAACTATGAGATAATGCCACACCCTTTCATATTAATTAATACTAGTCAAGCATTCCCTCTAAAGGGTAGAATAATAGGGAAAAGGTGTAAATATGTAATGAAAAATTAAACACACACACACACAGATATATATATATATATATATATGTATGTATGAAAAATTAAACACACAGACACACACAGGCACACGCACGCACACACAAAAGATATATATATATATATATATATATATATATATATAAATCTAAGATGTTGAACATCTTAGGCAAATGTTAACAACAACAAATTAAAGATGCTAATTTTGAGGGAAGAAGAATTCCAAACCAGGTATATTTAAATTCTCAGCACTTGACCAAAAATGTACCAAAAAGACATTCTCCCTGCTTACTAGAATAAATTTCCTAGATCATGGATATGTGGTCCAAAAAAAAAAGAAAAAAGGAAAAAAAAAGAAGATATATTATGTGTTTAAAAGTGAACTACAAGAGAAGCAAAACATTGTCACATCAACAAAAAAAATAAATAAAAATCAAAGAAAACCCTAAAGAGGGGGAAGAGCTCAGATCAAAGACTAGAAGCCATGATGGCAAGGATGGAGATTGGAATAAAGAAGAAAAAGAGAGGCATCATGACGATAAAGACCCCCAAAAGGAAAGAAAAAAAAAAGAGAAAACTAAACAAAACAAAATTGTAGTGACCAGGTTAGACTCTTCCTATTCTTGTTTGCATGGAAGTCCTAATTAATAATGCAATACTCTCCAACTGAATCTATTAATTTCTCCTTAATAACAATTAGCATGCACTTAGTGTAGAGACAGCAAGATGGAAAGGGAAGTGTAGTCATCAAAAAAAATCAGTCATTCATAACCACTGATGAAGAATAGAAGTTACAATGGGTGAAGGAAAACCAAATCTAATAACTCTGTGTATGATGATGATGATGATTTGGAGATGAAAATTAAGAGAGATGAAATAACATGTACCACTACCATCAACAATCACAAAGAGTGTGCAAGGACTAACCCCTGATCGAGCACAAAGGTTATAAATCAACTTGAATACGAGCCGCTGCGGTTCCTCCGGACTAGGTTCCGTTATCCATTGTGGCTCTAGGACTGTTAACATGGACTTGGACTTCTTATTGTGCGGCGGACAAAAGTCACGATCCTCCATTATTAGCCTATTCAATGTGAAGATCAAGTCACAGATAAATCTACATCTGATTCCTATTTTGTCCAGGAAAAAGAAATAAAAGCCAGAAGAATCTAAAAGGATTAGGAAAGATGACATAATACCGTAAGTTTTGGAGTGCTAAGTTGAGGGGAAGGACACCTTTCATACCATCAACATCAATCCTGAGGTTGAGTTGAGCCTCATTTCCAGGCAGACACAAGTTTGTGATCCTAGGAGCTCCATAACGAGCTGCCTTATGCAATATAGGAACTAATTGTGGATTGTAGGAGGTGAATGGAGCAGCGTTTACATCATTGATGTCCAATAATCCAGCCGTTTCTCCATTCAGCACCGCTTCCAAACAATTTGCAGAGTCACAATAAAATATGGAATGCAAAGGATCGTCTGCCTCAAGTTGTTCGTCTCTAATGACCTTTAACATCTCCACAAGCACATCCTTTCTATCGTTTATGATGGAATCGGAAAACCTTAGTTCGTAGTAATCGACCGGTCGCAAATTGCTCTGCCATTCTTCATCCTCCACTTCCGATTCCCCAGGTTCGGACATGCAATCCTCAATCTCCTCCCCCTTTCCAGGGTAATTTGATACTCCATACTTAAAAAAAGAAACAAAAAAATAATAATAATAATTCTAAAAAGTTCATAAAATAAGAAAACTTTGATACTGCGTAACACAAAAACCAAAAGATAAGGAATTATAAAGGGCAGCCAATACCTTCATCTCCGGTACCTCGAATTCTGTCATGTTCTCTGTACTCCGTTGTGGCCGCCACTTCCGTTAACCTAGCCTGTTCAAAGAGTTATGCACTTATAAAAAGAGATGTGGATACATGGCCAACTGGGCTCGGTCCATCTTGAAACTGCAGAATCAGCCTTGCCTATGTTGTAGTTGCTCATTTCTAACTTCTTTTACTATTGTTGGCCCGGCCAGTTTCATGGACCAAACTGAAAGAATTGAGTGGATCTAGAAGTAAATACTACAGTAGAGATACTATGTTTATGCTGGACGAGGTGCTGGAATACGGTAACAAGACGTGTCTAATATCTTATCATTTCAGTTGTTGATTTTAAGCAGCTTTATTTGTTATTTTAAAGAACTCCTTTTAGATTGATTATTTCATTGTAGTTGTATTTGTTATAATTATAAACATTTATTACGATAAAGTTGAATAGACGGTATCTCTAACAACTCTATTATGAAAATGACTCGAATCGATGTATTCTATATAAACCATTTAATTATCAAATAATTAAAGAAGGACCAAATTCGAATAAAACACCTTAATAAAAAAATTCAATAGAAATAGACAATTACATGTCAATAAATATAAGTTCCAACTAATATTTATCGTAAGAGAATTCTTCGGACATAAACAGACTATACCGATATAAAATACGAATTGGTCGCGCGTAACGCAACAAGACAGACTTAGTAACATAATATCAGCTTCGCAAGAAATTTCATTTTCTCCATAATCTCATCAAGGTCAAACCATAATACGCCCACCGCATAGCAGAAAGAACATTTGGTTGCTTGCTGGTTATATTATTCATACGATGGTGAGCTTCAGACAGATCATAGAGCTTGGGGATTGATAGAGACCTCGGAATCTGACAGGTGTGAAATGCTCTTGACGAAGGAGCCTGAAGAAGGTGATTACTTGCAAGGTCTTTAGAAACCAGATCTTTTTGTTTCCTGCTCCCATCGAAAGATGTTGAAGATATCTACAGCCATCGAGAGGCAATGATCAATTAGGAGCAATAATCCATATATTGCATATGATTCAAGGCATGAAACGGATTCAATATGAAGCAAAACCAGGGCTACGAACGCAATTCTCAGTTACGAGCAAAACAACTTTACTAGTGTTTAAGTGTTTATATTAATCAACACGTTAACATTCGGATTCTGAAAGGAGTCATTTCAAGAAATAACGCCCCTAATGCAGCTTGATGCGGACAAGAACGGACTGAAGAACTCAAATTTCATCCCAAGAATAGCTAGGTTCGTATTTTCTATAATTATTTTAAAGTGTCTCTGCAGTAGTTACCTAATATTGGGGTAAGATCATATGGTATTGACTGAATTAACTAAACACAGATATACAAAGATCTATGCATGGGTAAATTAATGTACTCCCTCTGTCTAAAAATTACTGTCTAATTTAATATTTCACTTTTACTACAACTTGAACTAAATATGAAAAATCCAAATTGGACAATAATTTCAGGACAGAGGGAGTAATTAGTAAACTACCATCTAAACATATATACTTGTCTTCTAACACTATCCCTCAAGTTGTTACAAACATAATCAGCTCTAAAATCTCGGAGACTTGATAAAAAATCAGCTAGCTGGTCATTAGATCAAACAAAAGAGGTAGCAATCTCATTAGTCACGTGTTTCTCGCGGATATGTGCAGTTCAAACAAAATCAGCTAACTCAATATGTGCAGTTCACTAGGGAAATACTGGGTTGGAAGATATTTGTAAAACAGTCTGGTTATCACAAATCAATCTCATAGGATCAAATGCATGTTGGCAAAAATTCAGATAGTGTGCTTCAACCACAACAGCTCACGCGTGACGAGTATCATAGCACGATACTCTACTTCCGCATTAGGGCAGGCAACTACAATCTGCTTCTTACTCTTCCAAGAATAAGATTAACACATAGAAATACACAATAAACACATGATTTGCATGTGTTTTAGATATGTCCTTTCTATTATTACAATTTTGATATTATTTTCTCTCAAATTTTCTTAATTTTCTCCAAAACAAACTGAGTTTTACACTTGTTTTGCATCACTGTTGTTTCTCGTGCACCATATGCACCAAAATGAAACTCTTAAACCACATTTCTAAAATGACGTATCAACGAGTATACAGACATATACATGAACATATGGACAAGTATGGAGTAGGATCTCACTTGCCGTTGCCTTGAGAGGAGCACCTGATCAATGGAGCAAAGGAGTTCTTCTGCAAAACAATGGGAAAGAGGGAAGCCATTTAGATGGAAATACATATAATAATTCAGCCTTTCCATACTAGTTCTTAAATATTCTTATCATGTTTTCAGAAAAATGGATGCATGTGTATATGGACTATAGAATAGATACCTTTGTCCCTAGCTTTCATCCCAACACGAAAGCTTCTCCAAGAAACCACATTAATAGAATCAGTTAGCACCATTCAGATAAGAAATAAATGAAACTATTTTTGAAATAAATTGAGAAAAAAAGATTATGAACATGAATAAGGGCTTTACCAGGACATGTCACTTAAGTTAGTGGTCTTCTCTTTTCAAAGCAAAACCAAGTCGCTTTAATATGACTATAGTATTTCGTACCAGGAAAAAGTTTGGAGGGTAACCTTGCTGCAAGAAGAGATATAAGGAATTGTGTCAGCTCGAAGTACAAAGTGTGAAGTCACAAAGAACGAAAGAGTCGGAAAACCACAAAAAGAGAAGTTCAAAAGTAGAGTTGGATAAAGTATAACAAGAGGGGGAGAGGGGGTGGGGGTGGGGGTGTTACGAGTTGTGTTTTGAAAGCATACGCGATAAAAGCACAATTGACGAAATAAATCGATAACTTCGCCACCCCTTTCAAAAACTTTGACCAGCAATGAAGCAGAAGCCATAAGTTCTTGCATCTTCCTGCACTCATACAGCGCTTCATTTCTGCCAGTGTTAACAAGTTTATACTCTTGATCAATTAGTGAAGCTAAACTTTCCATAACGCACTGCCCAATGGCAGAACAATCTACATTGTCGTCACTGGGAGGGGCAAGCAGCTTGTTCCAGGCCACAAACAACAGCCCGGCAAGCTCCACTAGCTTCCCCTCTCGGACTAAGGAAAAACTTATGTTCTCCAGCTCTTGTGTTTTCTCAGAAAGTATTTTCACTGTCTTCAATGGTTCTTGCTGCACGCAAAGTGAAAGAAAGTTCAGATAGATCATACATACAAAAGGACATTTGAGGGGAAAAGTTTGAGGAGATGATTACTAATTCTCGGAAGCAAAGACAATATATCAACTTAAAAACGGAAATGGAAGGATTCCAATCACTCAGATATTTGTGATAACGCAATGCCTCGAGCGCAACACTTAACGGAAGCATTCTGAAATACTTTGAGTCTTTATCACCACATTGCAGATCAGTGTGAGCTCCATGATGCAGAAATAAATACATAAGGCCAGAGCATAAGTTTTCGGCCGCAAGGTGCAACGGATAACATCCATTTCTCAGTGGCACATTAAGATCAACAGCAAGTCCAGTCTCTCCTTTCAGTAGTGCAGTGGCACAACGTCGCGCAGAATAAGAACAAATCCACATCATTAAGTCATCATAATGCTGCTCAATAGCCCTGAAACCGCGATTCTCGGAATAGCTCCGGATGAAAGAGACAAAACCCCCTTCATCATCCTTGCGGATAAGCTCCTCCAAAACCTTTTTTACCTCATCATGTCCATTACTACGACTACTGCTGCTACTTTTGATCGGTTCCTGCCGTCAATAAAATCAACAACCAGAGTCAAATTGCAGTATGCTACTTAGTTATGACTGAAACTTGTGTTACTATAAAGGAGGCAAAAGGTGACGAAACGCATATCAGTAATAAACTTTAAAGTTCCAAAGGTCACAAATTTTTAATTCATGGAAGAAAAAACAAGCCGACTTAAAAGAGGGCTCAGTTTATGCCAATCTGATCAAACAAAAATCAATTCAATCTGTTGGGCGAGATCCATACATACCTCATCCATCTCCAAAGCCTCTTTCTGCTGGCATGTGATGTTCGGAGCGGCAGCGGCGGGGCGGCGGCGGTTCAGAGACTCCAGAAGGTGAAAGCTAATGATAAATTACAAGTACATGTCAACGAATTAAATGTGTCGCAAAAGGGTATAAAAATGTCAAAGAAAGTCCAATGTCCACGAAGATCCATCATCTTACATAATTATTAAAGATAATTATAATAATTATTAAAGATAATTCTGAAGTAGTGGAGTTAGAATCTATCTATTTTATCCCTTTTATTACCCTATTAAAGCAGAATACAGGATTTGATGTGGCAACTTCTTATTAAAAATTTTTGGTTCCAAATGCACCATTTTTTGGCTCCAAATGCACCATATTACATTAACCATTGTGTCATCCCTTTTTAAAAGAAAAAAAAATTCTTATCCAGAAAAACAAAAGCTACTTTACAAAAATAGCTACACAATTTTAACTCCTAACATTTATCATTTATCAATCAAATTAAAATAATATTTAAATTTGTCCATAAACTTATCCCCTTTATTACTCCATATTCTTTTGTATGATTTCTGAATCGTTATACTTTTCAATATTTTTTCTCCTTTGGCAGATGATTTTTTTATTTTTATAATTCTTTTTTGCTAAAAAAAAGAAAAAACAAATGTGTAGCTATTTTATTTTTTCCAAATCAATAATTCATTTATCTATTAACATAAAATTAAAGTAGAGGGGCGCCCGGGCATCTGCCTGGGGCAAGCATCTAGTTATTATTATTACACTATTAAAGCAGAATACATGATGTTGATGTGGCAACTTCTTATTAAAAAGTTTTGGCTCCAAATTCACCATATTGCATTAACCATTCTGCCACGTGTCCTTACTTTTTAAAAGAAAAAAAAATTCTTATCCCGAAAAACAAAAACTACTTTATAAAAATAGCTACACAATTTTAACTCCTAACATTTATCATTTATCAATCAAATTAAAATAGTATTTAAATTTGTCAATAAACTTATCCCCTTTATTACTCCACATTCTTTTGTATGATTTCTGCATCGTTGTACTTTTTAATATTTTTTCTCCTTCGGCAGATGATTTTTTATTTTTATTTTTATTTTTTGCTAAAAAAGGAAAAAAAATAAATGTGTAACTATTTTTTTTTCCAAATCAATAATTCATTTATCTATTAATATAAAATTAAAGTATAGGGGCGCTCGGGCATCTGCCCGGGCCAAGCATCTAGTTTTAGTGATAGGAATATACTTTAGTGATAGACTTAATTTATTAATTATAAAAAAATAATTTTTATCATCAAGAGCAGTTTTTATCCAGTAATATGGTGTCTACCCTTTATTTTGTAATTAAGCCAGTCACAATGTAGTCTTCAAATATTATTCCACATTCTTCTCTCTTTTATTTATGTTTTTGGAATTTTTATATTCTTCTTGGTATCAGAGCTTTTTTTTTTTACCATAAAATAAATCATGATTTCTTTGCTTCCGCTTACTATAGTTGTGTCAGGTTACTTCAAATTCATCCTAAATCACTGTTTTGTCTTCATTCTCCACTACTAATTCTATATTCTAAGTTTTGAACCACAAATTTTTATTTTTATTTATTTATTTTTTTCGTTTCACAAATCAACTTTAGTTGATCCACAAATTTCACACAAAGAGGAAAGGCACCTCTGAGTCACTCTACAAAATTCTCATTATTCGATTCTCCCACGAATGTCTATAATTGTCTACAATTCCCACAATTCTGTCACAAATCAATCCATTGAACCACAAATTTTTATTTTTATTTATTTATTTTTTTCGTTTTACAAATCAACTTTAGTTGATCCACAAATTTCAGACAAAGAGGAAAGGCACTTCTGAGTCACTCTACGAAATTTTCATTATGACAAAAGTCAGATTCTCTCCAAGAAAAAAAAAAGAGTTTTAACTTGTCATACACTAATATAATATTTACAAAAATTTCCCATATGGCAAAAGTAATCTTCTCTCAAAAGAAGAGTATTGACTTGTCATACCACTCAAGCAGTCCAAAACATGGCAAGAGTCACTCAAGGCAGAGGATCGATGGTGGTCTACAAATTTTTCGCTACTCCTGTTCTGAAGGATGAGAAAACTGTCAACACAATCAAAGCAAACTGAGTCTCCAACACAAACTGACTGTCAACACAATCAAAGCAACCCCGACTCAGTTTGAGGGAGGATATTAAAGATAATCATCAAGTAGTGGAGTTAGGATCTATTTTAGTGATAGGAATTTACTTTAGTGATATACTTAATTTATTAATTATCAAAAATAATTTTTATCATCAAGAGTAGTTTTTATCCAGTCGTGTACTGCCTATAAATATGATGTCTACCTTTTATTTTGTAAACAAGCAAGTCACAATGTAGTCTTCAAATATTATTCCACATTTTTCTCTCTTTTATTTATGTTTTTGAAATTCTTATTTTCTTCTATAAGTACGTTGACTTTTTAAGTTCATACTTTCCGGCGCAGTTCAATAAAACCAAATTGTAACCAAGGTCTTTCATTTGGCTTGTGTTTACACTTTGTGGCCACACACTAACAACTCCTCCTCCCTGAACGCATTGAATTGGACCATTAATCCGAATTCTTAACTCCAAACCTCCGATCATTATTTTGACTTTCCAATCACTGGACACGAACAGAGATGCATAATGGTAATTACTATTGTGAAGTCTAATCAGAAGTTCTGAAAAAATATGCCCGAAGTTTATGACAATGGGTATAGGCTGGTTACTCCAACTCTGTGCAGGGAAGAGCTTCGGGAGACTACCCTAAGATCTTTCAGTGATCTTTCTTCAGCGTCATCATCGTTTGAGCGTCATCATCTTTCAATTCGGGTTCATTCCATTCCCGAGTTTCATCTTTCACCTCCCGGGGATTATTGGTCGGCGAATCATTCACCTACACTCAAATTCTTCAAGCCGCGGATTACTTTGACAGTTCCAAACTCATAAAGAAAGAACAATTTGTGGATCTCTATCTCGGTGTTTTAGAAGGTGGGTTGGAAGTAGTGGTTAAAAAAAGTCAACGTGTCTTCATCCCTGGAGAAAGAATTGAGTTTGATTTCAGAAACGGAGATTTGCGGGATGGTCAACCATCCTAGGGTGCTTCCTGTTCTTGGACATTTGCTTGCAGAATACTACTACTACTAATGACAGTTTTGGTTTACAAGTATATGCGTAATAAGGATTTGTCAAAATACTTGACTGGCAACAAATATACAAAACGACCAATGGGTTGGAGAATGAGGTTGAAGATCGCGACCGAGGCCGCCGAGGGATTATGTTATCTACATCATCAGTGTTCCCCTCCACTTTCATAGGTAATTCATATATATCAGAATTATGCTTCCTCAATCCTCCTGTTCAGATAGGTTCAACAACTCCTTTTTTTTTTTTTCGGTCCTCTCATTTTCTTTTTATTGAAAGAGGGCTGAGGGATTTTTAAATGTTGCAAATGATTATGTGATGCTAATGATTTGGCTCAAGTGCTTCTCTTGGACACTGGAAAAGAGGTATTAAAGCCAGTAGTATTCTACTTGATCATCAATTTGAAGCCAGTAGTCTGGGTAGCTTCTCTGAATCCTGTATCTAAGAAAAATACAATATTTCAAACAGGATTTCAAGCTTTCTGCGTTTGCCAGCGTGAGTTCCATCAACCGAGGTATTACCATCTCTTTTATGGCCTTTATCTCATTCAGCATAAGAAATATGCGATCGAAATTAGCAGGAGCTCTTCGAGTTATAAACAATGGAATCCTGGTACAATGGTCAAAGGTATAGGGGCTGAAATTAGCACCACTTCTGTACCACTTTTTTTATTTTTTATTTTTTATATTGTACTGAAAAATAAAAGACCAAGTCGTCACAGAATTACGGGGGACGACAGAGTCAACGGGTATTGCAAGACCAAAACACAATTAGAGTTGACTCTTTTCGACACGGCATAGTGATTGACAGCGTGGCAGTGATGTTTGTCAGTATTTTGTTTCCCGCGTTGATTATGAAATATATATGCTCATGCATACATTTCTTCTTAAGCCGTCGAGCTTAATAATCTCTCTTTCTTTTTTTCCCTCCAATCATTCCTTGGTCTCTTCATCATTGGCTTGTTGAATACAATTTCATTTAACAGTAGGCAGTTTGGACTTTGGAGAAGATAATAATACAAAATATGTCTGAAATTTATGGTAATTGGGATAGGCTGGTTACTGCCGTTCTGCGCAGAGAAGAGGATCGGGAGGCTGCTTTAAGGTCCTTTAGTGATCTTTCTTCATTGTCACTATCATCATTATCATCTTCTAGTTTAGGTTCATTTCGCCCTGACCAAGTTTTGTCTGTCGACACGGTCGGCAATTTTCTTAAAAACAATACCATAAATCTTTTTTATATTTTTCGGAAAAAGAAGAATTCTAGTTATAGTACACCCTCGGGGCCGGTTCAGCCACTGCATGAAGCTGCAGATTACTTCAATAACTTTGATCATCAAGAGATTATCTCTGAATCTGCTGATCCTCCGTTGAACTATGGCCCCCAAATAATCATCAATGATGGCAAACTGGTAATCAGCCTGGACTTTCCTCTGTTTTCTTTTTTCCTTTTTGTGTTTTTATGATGTTCTTTTGGTCAGTGATTTTAGTGAAATCAGATAATGATTGATTTCTAGATTTCATAATCCATATAAAATTGATGCTTCAATTTAATTTCAACCGTTGGTGGTTGCAGAGTTTCTGGCTAAGTAAATCAAGTGGGAAGAAATGCTATAGGATTTGTGCAAGGGAGCTTTTGATTACATGGGCGGGTTCTCCAGTGTACTGGGGTTGGACATCTACGCCTGAATCAAGGTACCTCTTTTATGTGCAGGGAGAAGTGAATACTACTTGTTGGCACTAACCCAAAGCAATTCTCTCAACCCCGCTTCATCATATTTTGCGGGTTTTTCATTTCCAAGTTTCAATGGTGTTTCTTTCCTCAATGTTTAGTTGTTGAATTCCCATTTTCAGGTTCTCTGAGGTGGCTGAGTTAATAAAAGTATGTTGGCTCGACATCCAAGGGAAGGTGCCGAGTCGAATGCTGTCCATGAGGACAACTTATGCTGCTTACCTAATCTTCAGGGTCACAGAGGATTCTTTTGGACTTGATGTGGTTGCAAAGGCATCTGTTCAATTTGCTGGAGTTATTAGTAATAACGCTAGGGTTATCAGTAATGTCAACCTCGTTAAGCCAGAGACTTATTCTCATTACTTGGTAAAGCGCGGCAGGGTTCCGCAACGCAGAACGGATGGATGGATGGAGCTTCAGCTGGGAAAGATTTTCAATGATGAAGGAAAAGGTGATATTGAGATGAAACTTTCAGAGACCAGCATTCTCAACTGGAAAAAAGGGCTGATTGTGGAGGGCATTGAGCTCCGGCCTAAGGAACCCTAATCAAATTTCATGTAATACAAATGCCTGATGCATGATGACTTCCAACTAAAGTGATTTTAGTTTTGATAAATGTGTGGAATTCTCCATTTAGACTTTCTGTTTACACTCTTGTGTTCTTGACGTATCTCATTGAAGGGCAGAGTTGTATTTCAGAACATCATGTTAAACTGTTAATTACTTTTTTTGGCGCATTCTCAACTTTGAATCGTTCAGAACCCCAATCGAAAAACATACAAGGAAAGAGAGAAATAGTAAGGAAACCTCCATTCAATCTGCTGGCATTTTCTTTTGTTCTTTACTAGTAAATAAAACTTCCATGTTGACAATGTCACATTGACCTTCCCCCCCGACCCTAATACGCATTGAAATGGAGATTTATGGGATGGTTAAGCATTCTAGGGTTCTTCCTCTTCTTTGGACTTTGCTGGGTGAATGCAGGTGATGTTTTTTTGTTTACAAGTGCATGCGTAATATGGATTTGTCAAAATACTTCAGTGGCAACCGGCATTTAATACCGCCACTGGATCAGGAATGGAGGGTGCTGAAAGGGGAGTATCAAGAATTCTATTTGACTATTGACTTGGAATGTGTCAGGAATGGATCGAATCAAATTTCAAATTGAAACTTGTTTATCAACTGACTTTAAAAGGGAGGGAGAAAAAAAAAAAGCAAAGGAAAGGAGGGGAAAAAAGAGAGAGAAAAAAACAACTTTTAGTCCCAATCGGGCAGTCGTTTTCAAGAATGTTAGCGAAACAAAACCTCATTGACTGAACTCCCAAGTCATTAATGTCATTCCAAAAATAACAGCGGGTGACTCCAGCGGTCCAACATTGCTTCCTCCCGAAGGCGATTGATTTGAACTTACTTCCTCCGTCCCACAAAAATAGTCCACATTGAGTTTTGAATTTTGTACTGAAAACGATACAAAATTCAAAACTCAATTTCGAAATGATTGTCTAGTGTTTTACTGCTGTAATTACACAAAATAGCACATTTTCGGGCGAATGAAGAAGAAATTATTAAGGAAAGCTCCGGGACCTGGGCTTCATTATTACACTGGTATGAATGACAATATGTGATTCCTCCAGACTGCAGTGGAATTGCTTGGAAGAATTTCTCATCCCAATGTACTGAAACTTCTTGGTTATAGTCTCGAGGATGACCAGCTATTTCTTGTCTACGAATTTAAACAAGAGGGAAGCTTGACGAAATACTTCCATAGCGGTGAGATTTCTTCTACCCTCATCATCAATCAATCTTGTATAAGTTACAGTAGATAAGCTGTGTTTTCTTACTTGATATCTTAAGGGAGTCCTGTTATTCAAAACCTTAGGAGACTCAAAATTTTAATAGGAGCAGCAAGAGGTCTAGCGTTCTTGCACACATCACAGAGACAAGGTTTTTTCCAACACAAGAAAAAGGGAGAAGGTTTTTATGGGTATTTCAGCTGCTCAAAAATATTACTTGATTCGGTAAGTTTTTGGTACTGCAAATTTGATTTTTAGCAGTTCATGGGCAATGGATAATGTTGCTTCTCATGTTTTAATACGCTTGTTAAAGGTTTCTAGATTGTCAGTGAGATTTAGAAACGAGAAGGAAAAAAAACTGTCTTTTCTAATAATATTGCTCAACTTATTTTTCTATCTTCAGGATTACAACCCTAAGATTACAGGTGTCAGTGTGGCTGACGTTGGTCTCCCCACTGATCTTAAAAACTATTTTGATCACTTTAAGCTTCTGAACTCAAGATTAACCGGTGGCAAAGAAACTATAAGTTCAGTCCACCAGTGTTTGAAAAAAAAAAAAGATTCTGTTTGATATCCATATAAAAGATTAGAAGTTTTTCTTTTTGGGTACATAAATGGAGGAAAGATTAACTTTTTAATTGCTTTCTGGGATCACTTGTTACCAGGGGACTCGATTTGGAATGATGAACTTGATGAGCTTATACCAGTGAAATCATATTTAAAGAGTGATGTGTACGGTTTCGGTGTTGTAATGACCCGAATGGTAACAGGTGGAGCAGGAAAGTATTATTTACTTAGAATCAAGCAGCTTACACCTCATATATTCATAGAAAGATATATGGACCCATTGCTGAAAGGAAAAATCCCGTCAGAAGCTGCTGTAAGAGTGGTTCAGCTTGCTCAATTATGTTTGCGATATGACCATGAGGACAGACCATGAATGGAACAAGTTGTGGAGATACTAGAAGGCATTGCAAGAATCCAGAATAACAAGGATGATAAGGAGGAGTTAGACTTGTTACTGGAAAGGGCTAGCACATCAAACTTCATGCAGCATAATTCTGTACTTCAAACAGGACATGAAAGGCAAGAAGACAGTAAGGTGGAAAAAGGCGCGTCAGAGCAAAATAAGAACAGAACTAGCACGCGAAGTAAAGATTTTTCCAGTGAAGCATATAAAATCATTTATGTTAGTGCTAGTCGATTAAAACATGAGAGGGCGGGTTTTGGAGGGGTCATTCTTAATGAGCAAAGGAGAATAATCAACGCCTGGGCAATATGTGGGGAGCCGAACTCAAGTCTAGAGGAAACAACATTACAGGCGATTCGATATGCTCAAGCGACAGCAGAGGAGAAGGGTTGGAAAAAAGTGCAGATCAGGTATGATGTCGAAGGTTTAATGGATAAAATCTTTGATGAGAAAGCATCTGAAATGGCATTATCTAAAACAGCGGAAGACATCATTCGTATGAGGGAATCGTTTACAACATGCTCATTTGTTTATTTTTCAAAAGAATGGAATGAGAGCTGTAAAAGATTCGCTGATATAGCTGTGGAGACCAAAACCTCGCAGGAATGGAGCACCGCCTTCCCGCCATGGCTGATTGAGGCTAAACAGAAAGGATCATGACGATACTTGGATTTGTACCGCCGGTGTTGGGTGGAACTCCGGCTAGGGTTTCCTGCAAAACAGAGCCTCGGGCGTCTCCCGAGGGTAGACACTCCGAAGCTTAAGTTAGAAAATAGGGTTGTATGTATGCCGATATGATAATCAAGATTGCGTACCTTTTGTGTGGAATAAAGGTCCCTATTTATAGGCTTGGGGGAGATCCGATTCCTACTAGGGTTATCAACAATAGACCGCCACATCAGGAAGGTATCGACCCCAAGGCCAAGTAGTGGGCCGGCCCAGTGATGGTGATGAATCTGGACTCGCCAGATCAATTTAGTAGACAAAGTTGGATAACCGACCATTTGAAGTATTACATGTACATTTTCATTTTCAAATTGCAAGGAATTAAAAGGCGGCTACTTGCCCTGCCTTTTAAAACTACATACTACATTCTGTCCATAACTTTCTATAGTTTCCAAATTCCAATTCACATGGGAAAAAAGAGGGAAAAAAAAAAAAGAATTAATAAAGACTCTCTATTCGACTATTGACTTACTAGTTGCTAGGTGTGGGGATCAAATCAACATGTCAATCAAAATGTATGATTGAAGCTTCTTCTGTAATAATGGCTGATTTTGAAAGGAAAACAGAAGAAAATGAAAGGAAAAACTGGGTCACTCCAGGGGTCCAACAAGGCTTTCCCCCCGAAAGGGCAAGCCAATTAGTGAGTAATAAAGGAAACCTCCGGGACCTCGCGACCCCTGTTGAATTGGGAGAAAGGGAAAGTCGTCGCCAAGACTTGAGCGCAATCAAACTTGACTTTCACTATTACTATTCCGACAAAACACGGGATTTTAGTGAAGACTAAAGAGGCTGCTAAATGCCGGCTGGCCTCATTGGTTTTGATTTCCGGTCATTTCCTCCGGTATATCCAATCACCGGCAGCTGGAAGAGGATGGATGGTTGTTGAAATTTAGCTGTATATTTGCCCAATTAGTATTTAGTGATTATATAAGATCTCAAAAATTACTAATTGAGATGCCTGCGGTTTATGACAATTGGGCTAGGCTGGTTGCTGCCGCTCTGCGCAGGGAAGAGAATCGGGAGCTTGCTTTAAGGACCCCAAGTGATCTTTCTTCCCTATCATCATCATCATCATCACCATCTTTCTATTTGGGTTCATTCAATGGCCGAGTTTCGTCTTTCACCTCCTCGAGTATTTTGGTTGGGGAATCATTTCCCTACCATCAAATCCTTCAAGCCACCGATGGTTTTAGTGACTCGAAACTAATAAAGCGTGGCCACTCTGGGGTTCTCTATTCTGGGATTTTACAAGATGGGATTCAAGCCGTTGTTAAAAAAGTGAGGGTGTCATCCTTGGAGGAACAATTAGGCCTCATGTCGGAATTCAAAATTTACGGGATGGCCAATCATTCTAGACTGGTTCCTCTTCTGGGTTATTGCTTCGACGATCCTCATGACAAATTTCTGGTTTACAAGTACATGCCCAATAAGGATTTGTTTAGGTTTTTGAGTGGCGAAATCGATGATGATGGACAGCCACCACCATTTCTAAAATGGATTATCAGGTTGAAGATTGCAATTCAGACTGCTGAGGGACTATGCTATCTGCATCACCAATGTTTCCCGCCACTTGTTCATAGGTAAATATCATACTTAAGCTGGTGTTTAGCTTTCTTACTGTTTATGTTGTGGGGAGGACTGAGGGAATTTTGCATGTCTTGGTCTTTGTCTTGGTCTTTAAAAGAGACATTCAAGCAAGCAGCATTCTACTTGACGATGGTTTTGAAGTACGTTTGGGGAGCCTCAGTGGAGTTTGCATTCAAGAAACGAACAATAACCCAAACAGGATTTCGAGAATTCTGTAAGTTTCTTAGCAGACCTTTGACACTTCTAGTCCTTTATCTCAATTAGATGTACCCTTGTGTTTAACTCTTTCAATTTGGTGTTTCAATTAGGATACTAGTTAAACTTTCATCCACTTTCTATATTGGCTTCTTTGGCTTTGTTGATTTGATGTTTCATTTTGGATAATTATAAAATTTCATCCACTTTTATAGTAGTTTCTGTCCCAGGAGAGTTTTCTGATTATTATTATGACAACTAATCTATACTGTATGAATATGACTAAATGCCTTCTGTTTTTCCGGCAAGAATGGCTAAAAATAGTTACGAAACTTTAGTTATCAAGAAGACAATAGTCTCTTCTCAGCAGATGGCTTTTATTTTATTAATTGCAATAATTCCTGCATCTGAATTGGTTTGAGTATGAATGTCCTCGTGAGTTGATGTTGTGTACTTTTATTTCTAGTTCTAATTTGTTTGATCTGAGAGCTCTTGTACAATTCGGCTTTGATCTTATTCAATCCGCAAACACATTTCATCAACTCGGCCACGACCTTTCATAACTATCCTCCTTAATCTCTTATGTTGTCTACGAACTGCTGATTCTTCCTCCCTTCAACTGAAAAGTAGGCAGGGGATGTTTATAAGAGCAACGTCCTCCATTTCTACTTTTCTTTTTTTAACTTTTTAAAAGGATGTAAAAACTTTCTCTTCTCTTGAGTTACCCTTTCTTTCCACTATCATTACCTCGTTTGTTAAGATTTCTTGGTTTGCTAGACAGAATGACCGGTTCTCTTCATTCATGCAGGGGTATTGAACAAAGGAATTCTGGTATGGTACTTCGACACTTTCCCATGCTAGTTTTGCATACCATTAAATGGTCTTTAATTAATTATCTTTCTTTATTCTCCTTACTACAAGTGATATGCTACATATCCGATACACAATGAAGTTTACGCATTTTCTTCTAACGCACAAGTCATATTTGGTTGTTTGACTCTACTCAAATGGCACATGGAACCCTTCTGGTCATTTTATCCGCAGAACTAGAGCCTGGTGGCAGGTGGGTATATCCGCCGCCCCTGGAATAGTACTGGATGAGCATTAAACCATTAGTAGATTTTTTCTTGATCTGCTGGATTCAGAGTCTTTAGGATTCTGTTAAAAGAAAAAATGTAGACCCTCCAAAATATCATTTAGTGTTCATTTTCAAGTTCTTGCCCTCTAATCAAATTTGGTGGTCTGGGGGTTTGACAAGACAATCCCACTCATATATTCACTCTTCTATATCCCATCCTGAATGGTCAGGTACATCTAATGCAACATCTGCCTATGATGTTTATAGCTTTGGGAAGGTTTTGCTTGAGCTAGTCACCGGTAAGCGAGGCGTAAGTGCTGCCGATGGCACCACCAACAAGTATTGGACATGGAACATCCTGCGTTACATTGTTTCAGATGATAAGAACCTCGTTGCCAAAGTTGTTGATCCACATTTAGTCATGGGTGAGCATATGTTGGAGGGAGTGTGGGCGGTTGCTTTTATTGCCAAGGCGTGTCTAACTCCTAAGCCTTCAAAGAGGCCAAAAATGATAGAAATTCTCAAAGCTTTGGAAGGTAATAATTTGGAAATTTTGTGGTACTGAAGTTAACCTAGGTAATATGGTCATTGAAAGAACATTAGTGTTCTTCTTCATTTGAGCTTCATCTTTTTGAATTTTATGCCTGTGAACCCAGCACCAAGCTTTTCTTTGTGGGTATACAGTGTTCAGTTTGGTCGTTTTTGTGATGCAACTGAGATTGTAATGCACTGTACTCTAGTTAAGCAATCTGATTACGAAGCACGATAAATAATCACACCAGTGCAACCATTTCATATTACTTTCTTTCCTTCTTTCCTGAAACCAACACCCCCTCCCCCTCCTTTAGGATGGGTGCTCCTTAGGTCTTGAAGAGATTGTTTGCCCATATATTCTTGTACCATATTTCAGTAGCGTGAAGGTTATTCTTTAATTCTCGTTGACTGCTGAGTATTATGCCATAGATGGTACCAAGAATCGATCTTGTTCTTTGTTTAGTGTCACTACTTTTTGAATTTACCATCGTTCAACCATGACAAAAACCAGGATTATTAGCAAGCAGTGTTCTACTCCAGCTTTATCCAAACGGGAAGATTCATTTATATGCCAATTCCAGGATTTTCTCTTATGTGGACCTAAAGAATGCAACCAGAATTTTTGGATGGGATAGTCGGCTTGGACAAGATGAATTTGGGACATTATATCGAGGTTTGCTTCAAGAGAAGTCAAAGTTGCAGGGTGGCAAGGAATCACCAATAGTTGTAAAGGAAATGCATCTTAGAAGGGTGAAAGGGTTTCAGCAATGGCAGGTATTTCAAATGGAGCCTGTAAATTATATAACAATAACTAACTAATTGAATGATCAATATCTTTAATTCCGTTTAATATAAGTTCTTTGGCTGATGTTTAGCTCGAGAATAATATTTTTGTCAATATCTGCAGATGTCCAGATGTGATGTTCCAGTTGTTCTGATTTAGAATATATAGGTGTAATTTGTGTTGAAACTATAGATTCCTATTAAGACTGCAGAACAATTTTGTTCAGTTTACTATCTGATTTCAGATTTTGATAGTCATTGAAATGCTTGTATCTGTGTTCTCTGCAGGCTGAAGCAGAAATGCTTGGAAGACTCTCTCACCCCAACATACTAGAACTTCTTGGCTACTGTATGGAGGAAAACCGGTTACTTCTTGTCTACAAATTTATGCATAAGGGGAGCTTGAAGAAATACTTTTCTACAGGTGAGATTTTAATTTTGATGTTTTTTCCTGCTGCAGTTGTTTCCAAATTGTTTTAGTTATTGTGAATAATCCATGTCAGTGGTCCGGTGTCTTTAAGAGAGTTCTGATGTTCAGAACCTTACTTGGGACGTACGGCTTAAGATTTTGATAGGAGCAGCAAGAGGTCTTGCATTTTTGCATGAATCAGCAAGGCAAGGCTTTTTTCAGCAGAAAAAAGAGGGAGAAGGTTTTTACGGATACTTTAGCTGCTCGAAAATACTACTTGATTCTGTAAGTTACTGTAGGCCATACAAAATTTCAAGCAGTACAAATCTTACTTCTCGTGCTTGGATAATTCAGCTTGAGGTTTCTAGATTATAAACAAAATTACAAAACTGATAACAAGGGGTATTTTTCTCTTCTTAACATTGTTCAACTGGTTTTTACTTTCAGGATTACAACCCCAAGATTACAGGTTTTGGTGTGGCTGAGGTTGATCCCCCAGATGATCGTTATGATGTCCATCCGTACAAATTTTCTAGTGGGAAGTATGAATATGGCGCTCCTGAGTATTTAAGTTTAGGTAATCTGAACAACTCTCTTGACCTCTAAAGTTCTCGCACTCAATATTCTGCAGTGACCAAGAAATTAAAAGTGCAGCTTACTTGTGTAAAAGAAATGTTTCTGTTTAGTATTCTTATGAAAGATGAAAACTTTAATTGCTTTCTGCTAATCACTATTTACCAGGGGAAGGAATTCGTGATGGTAGCCATGATGAGTTTGTACCAGTGAAAGCACATTTTGAGAGTGATGTGTACGGTTTCGGAGTTATATTGGTTCGAATGTTAACCGGTGTAGAAGATTCTCATCATACATATAAACTCAAGAGGGTTATGCCTAATATATTTGTAGAAAGATATATGGACCGGTTGTTGAGAGGGAAAATTCCCTCAGAGGTTGCTGAGAAAATGGTTCAACTTGCTCAATTATGTCTTCGGCGTGATCGTAAGTCTAGACCATCGATCGAATTAGTATTGGAGATACTAGAAGGCACTGAAAAGATCCAGCGTAGCAAGGATGATCTGGATGAGCTAGAGTCGTCATCGAAAAGGCTTCATGAATCAAACTGCATACAGGATTCTCCAGTTCATATTCGGAATGAAGGGCAAGAAATCAGTGAGGTGATTCAAGGCGGGCAGAAGCAAAATGCTCAAGCAGAGAATGATATTTTGCCTAGAGCTTATAAAACCATTTATATTAGTGCGAGTCGGTTAAAACATCAGAAAGCAGGTTTTGGAGGGATTGTTCTGAATGAAGAAAGGAGTATTATCAATGCCTGGGCGATTTGTGGTGATCAGAATGTGAGTCTAGCAGAGACAGGATTACAGGCAATTGGATATGCTCAAGTTATAGCTGAGAAGAAGAGTTGGAAAAAAGTGCAGATCAGGTGCGATGTCCAAGGTATCGTAAACAAAATCAACCAAAAGAAGCGATTTGGCGAGGGATCATCTACAATTGTTGAAGACATCAATCATTTACGAGACTTGTTTGAAGAATGCTCATTTGTTTATATTCCAAAAGAATGGAATGAGAGCTGTAATAGGTTAGCTGATATAGCTGTGGAGAGCCAAACCTCACAGGAATGGAGTACCGCCTTCCCGTCATGGTTGATTGAGTCTAAAGAGAAAGGAGCAATTTAGTAGGTTGTTGGTTAATGATATGATGTAAAGCAATCTGACTACCATTTTAGAATTGGTCCAGTATAACTTTTAGCATCCAGAGCAAGATTTTCCTTTTACCAGATTTGTATGGCTGACGATGTTTTGACTGATTCTGTTTCAGGATTACAACTCCAATCGAAATCACTGTTCGCAACCCAAGATTTTTAGTTTAAATTGTAGTAAAAATGAAAAACCAAATGGACAATAATTATGGGACCGAGAGAGTACAAATTAAGAAATAAATCATCCACTGCTGTCAAGAGAATGAGGGAGAGTCAACGGTTCGTTGAAAAGGGACTTCCCAATAGTCAATCTCGAATTTCTCTTACATATACTAGTACTATTTTTCGCCCATTTGTTTGTTCATAGAGTTGGATTATCGGGAAAAACCAAGAAGCAAAAGAAAATGAAAGGGAACTTGAAAATCTCCAGTCTCAGTCTGTAAGCGTTGAGGAAGCAGATTGTTTTCTTAAGCCCGTTCAATTGAATGATCTCTGTTCTTTATCCACACCAGTCTTTCCTGCTGTATATAATCAAGCAATGCCAGCAGTTTATGACAATTGGGGTAGACTGGTTGGGGCCGTTCTGCGCAGAGAAGAGGATCGGGAGATTGCTTTAAGGACCCCAAGTGATCTTTCTTTACCATCATCAGTGTTAGGATCATCTTCATCTTTTAATTTGGCTTCATTCGATCACTCCCGAGAAGATTCGTCATTCAGAGCCGGGGGATGTTTGGCAGGGGAATCATTTACCTACAATCAAATCCTCAAAATCACAGATTCCTTCAATACTTCCAAACTCATAAGAAATGGCCACTCCGGAAATTTGTATCTCGGGGTTTTACAAACCGGGATTCATCTTGTGGTTAAGAAAGTCAACCTGCAGTCATTCTATGTGAAAGGGTTGTATTCATTGCCAGAAATTGAAATTTTTGGCACGGTTAATCATTCTAGATTGGTTCCTCTTCTGGGTCATTGCTTGGATAATCCTGATGAGAAAATTCTGGTGTACAAGTACATGGATAATAAGGATTTGTCAAGATATTTGAGTGGCAGAATTTATATAGACTGGACAACAAGGTTAAAGATTGCAACCCAAGTTGCGGAGGGATTATGGTATCTGCATCATCAATGTTCCCCTCCACTTGTTCATAGGTATCCAATCTTCTTCTTCTTCTTCCTTTTTTTTTTTTTTTTTAATGGTTCACTATCTATTTTTCATTCAATTTACTTTCACTTGGGAAAGGGTAGGAGAGGGCTGAGGAAGAGTTTGAGTGTAAAAGTTGTAAGTTAATGTTATAGCTAAAATATATTGCCTTTGTTGGTTCTTCTATTGAGTGTCTAAAAGAGATATTCAAGCTTCCAGCATCTTACTTGATGATGATTTTGAGGTGCAGTTGGGGAGCCTCACGGGAGCTGCTATTGAAGAAGAAAATGACAGTGCTAAAAGGAGTTCAAGGTTACAGCTATGGCCAATGTATGTTTCTTCTCATGAACTTCTTCCACTCGGTCAAAATTAGGGATACAATTCATAAATCTCTTTGCATAATATTCGTGTTACGTGTACTTGGGGGAAAAACTTATTAATTTTTCTGACCATTTAAATCAGTTATTGGAAGTCAATTCACCCACTCTAAATCAAAGACTTGTTCTTCTATTTTTTGTGCTAATTGCTGCATCTGGATGTTGAGGATGTTCTAAGCTTTGTTAACAATCATTCACAAAATGTCCGATCCATTCGGACTTCTGAACTTTCTGTTACCATTCTTTCCACTTTTATTCTCTGCTTGTTAATACTCCTTGGCTGCCTGAAGTTATGACAGGCTTTCTTGTCATATGCAGGAGTTCCAGGAGTTTTGAGCGAAGGAATTATGGTATGGTGCTGTTTGTTCTTCCTTGAAGCCACTTTTAGGATTCAATTCTACAATAATCTGTATGTAACTATCCAACTTTGAGTTCCTAAAATGTCAGTAACAATTAGGATGCCTTATTCACCAATTATTAGATTTGTGAGTCAATGGCACCATTTCTGCGGGTCCCTTCTGAAACTTGAATGGACAATTCGGATCACGTTTATTTTGCTTAAATGTCACTTGATTTGCCCATCCTTTGTTACCATGGTCCCAAAGAAATGCTCATATATACTTCTAAATTAGCAACCATCATTCAAACAGCTTATTGATTTATACTCTATGCCCAAAGTTTACATTCAATTCTCTGGAGTCACTGATAAATCTTTCTTGTCCATCTTCTGCATGCAAACTTCATAGTTGTAAAATAGATGACAGTATACAACTTCTTGGTACATATCAAAATGAAAAACAGAAAGAGAAAGTAGCAAAAAATGGAAATTTCTGTTTTCACAAAGCTTTCTTAAATGGATAGCAATTTTGTTTGTGATTTCTTTTTGTTATGCTAGTTCCACGGGAATTATTTATTGGGTCAGAAATTGTACATTTCTATCTCACTCAATAATCAGTCTCTTTTAAATCTAATCCTGAATGGTCAGGTACATCTGATACGATATGTGCTTATGATGTTTATAGCTTCGGGAAAGTTTTGCTCGAGCTAGTCACTGGTAAGCTTGCCGTAAGTGATGCCAATGGCTTGACCACGAAGAATGGGATGGCAGCCATTCTGCGTTCCATTGTTTCAGTTGACAAAAAACTCATTGCTGACATTGTTGATCCTTCATTGATCATAAATGATTATGTCTTGGAGGAACTGATGGAAGTTGCTTTGATTGCAAAGGCATGTCTCAGTCGTAACCCCTCTAAGAGGCCCAAGATGGCGGAAATCCTCAATGCTTTGGAAGGTAGTTTCTTGGAAACTCTTTGTTAGTGAAGGCACACTAGGTAGATTTGTCAGGGAAAGCCTTTTTATTTTGCTTTCCCTCCTCTCCTCCTCTGCTGATTCATGTGAGCTTTATGTTTTTGAAGCTTATGTCAGTGGAATAATGGATTAAGTACCCAGCTATTCTTTTGGGGTTGTTGTGTGCAGTTTGATGGTTTTTGTGATGCAACATGAAATTATGTTTCCCCACTCTCTGATTTCAGTATTCTTATAACGTAAACTTGAAGAATTGAAATCAGAAGTGTGAAACTTGTCTCATATTCTTGATGACGATAGCTTAAATTTCTTTTTTTTTCTTTGATCTGGATGCTGTTTGGAACTTGAAAAAACTATTTTGAAGCTGTTTTCCTTTAGCTTCCATTGGCATGAAGGGAAGCCCTGAAAATTCTTGTTTAATGCAGAATGTATGCCATTCTTTGTTGTTGTGAGCACACTTGTAGTAAATACATTGGCCTTACAGTTCCTCAGTTTACTGTTAACATTTTCTTAGGTAACTTATTTATATGCAGTAGGAAGTATATGTTAGCTTTTTGGTGTGCAATATGACATTTTCAGGATTATTTGCGAAAAAAAGGATCATCAACATTCGCCAGAATGGGAAGATCTATTTACACGGAAGTTTGAGGATTTTCACTCTTGGGGAGCTCAATGATGCTACCAAAAATTTTGGAAGGGAATGTTGGCTGGGACGAGATGAATTTGGGGAATTATATTGGGGTTCACTTTGTGAGAAGTCAAAGTCACATGGTAGAACTGTATCACAGATACTTAGTAAAAGAATGTTTCCTAGAAGAATGAGGGACATTCAGCAACGGCAGGTAATACTTAAATATGGAGCTTGTGAATAAGATGAAACTGTTTGAATCCCGAGGGCCCTGAATCGAGCGTTGAGTTTTTATTGTCAATATACGCCACCATCTCTCCTGAACCGGCATTTAGATGTTCTGATGTAAATATATAGGCGAGATTCATGATAAAGCCACTTATTCCTCTCAACTAGGAGCACTGAGTGAATTCAGTTTAGAGAACTATCTGACTAATTTAACAACTGTACAGTAATCCCACTGAAAGGCTTATATTTGTTCCTTGCAGGCTGAGGTTGAAGTGCTTGGAAGACTTTCTCATCCTAACATACTGAAACTTCTCGGTTACTGTTTGGAGGATGGCAAGTTACTTCTTTTATACAAATTCATGCAAGAGGGAAGCTTGAACAAATATTTTTCTGGAGGTGAGGATTTTTTATGCTTCAGTTATTATCAGTCAAATCAAGCTTGAACTGTTAATCTGTGATATTATTTTCATATCCTAAGAGAGTACTGCTATTCGAGAACTTACGTGGGAGAAGAGGCTTAAGATTTTGATTGGAGTGGCAAGAGGTATAGCATTCTTGCACGCATCACACAAGCAAGGCTTTTTCCAGCAAAAGAAAGAGGGAGAAGGTTTTTACGGGTATATCAACTGCTCAAAGATATTTACCGATTCTGTAAGTTATTTGAGCCACAATTATTTATTCTTTCATTGTTAGTTGCAGTTGGACTCCAATGGATCATGTTATTCATGTAGTTTTTAAAACATTTGTTCTGTGTTTCTACATTATCAACAAACTGATAAACAGATAGACACTGTTGATAACGTTGTTCATCTGGTTTTGTTACAGGATCACAACCCAATGATCACAGGTTTCTGTGTGGCTGAGGTTGATCGCCCATATGATCTTGTTGATGTCCACCCGAATGCATTTACACGTGGGAAATATGAATATGCTGCTCTAGAGAATAAACATTCCGGTAATCTTCTTATCTTCTCTGCTCCAGATTCAGTGCTAACAAACAGAAACTATAACTTAAAGAGTTCCCTTGTGTACAATCGATTCTATTATAATGCATTTCTATTGGTATCTGTCTATTCACCAGGCCGGTTTTCAACAATGAGCTCGCGTTTGGGGAGCGATGTGTACGGTTTTGGTGTTATATTGGTCCGGGTGTTAACTGGTGTAGATAATCATCAACATACGTCTCAGATCACAGTGCTTATGCGTCCTCTTGAATTCATAGAAAGAAATATGGACCAACGGTTAGAAGGCAAAATTTCATCTAAAGCTGCTGTAAGAATGGTTCAACCCGCTCAATTGTGTCTTGCATATGACCATACTCTCAGACCACCTATGGAGCAAGTTGTGGAGATACTCGAAGGCATTGAAAAAATGGCAAATATCAAAACGCTCTCCTAATTTCGCAGTCCATAAAAATTTTGTGTAGCAGAGAATTATGTTAAGACTGAAAATACAGAGGATGAGAGAAACCTCAAAAGATCCAGAGAAGATCTGCATTTTCTAACACATCAATCGCTTTCCAAAATGTATTTGAATTGCAGAATAAACAAAAAAAAAAAGAAAAAGAGCCTTTCATGATCCATCCATCCTGATAAACACTAGTAATCAACTCCTGAATCTTTTTCGCAAAGACTCTGCGAACCCAATAATGTTTTGTTCAGCAGTTAACAGAAATGGATTAAAAGATTTTAAGCCAAATGATAGAGTGAATATGGCAAGCTTGCTCAATTATGCCTTTGGCCTGACCACCAACTATGTCTTCAAAATGAGCTGGAACTTTAAGCTCAGACCACCAATTGAACGAGACTATAAGAATGAAAAAAGAGGGTTGACCTCCCCCACCAACTCCCGGGCTAATCAATGTACACATTAAGAGAGAAAAACAAAAGAAATGAAATAGTAGTAAGTAAGCGGTTGCTATGGCGGGCGCGTCAATGACTAATGTCAACGGTTGTTCCAGTCAATGACTAATAATAGGTTGTTCTTTGCGACCATTCCTTAGTCTATTTGATCACCGGTTTTTCACAATCCTTGTTGGGCTACTAAGAGATACTTAAAAATGCCTGCAGTTTATGACAGTTGGGATCGGCTGGTGAAAGCCACGTTGCGCAGGGAGGCGTACCGGGAGATGGCTCTAAGGACCCCAAGTGATCTTTCCTTTGCATCATCTTCTTCATCTTTCAATTTGGGTTCAGGCCGCAGCCGAGCTTCATCGATGAGCTCCCGGAGCTTATTGGTTGGGGAATCATTCACCTACCCTCAAATTCTTGAAGCTACAGATGGGTTCAGCGACTCTAAACTCATAAAGCATGGCAGCTCCGGGGATATCTATCACGGAGTTTTGCCTAGTGGAATTGAAATAGCTGTTAAAAAGGTCAACGCGTCATCCTTGGAG